ATATAAATGATTTTATGGGCGTTTAAATAAAAAATCGTAATTAATGAATCATTCGAATTTTATTGATAGTATGCAAGTTATTTATTTCAATTTTTTAATGCACTGACATTTCAATTAGCAAAATGACAGATACTGCCAAAATTGCAGAAATAGTACAGGATGTTTCAACTAAGAAGCACTATTTGAAAAATTAATAACTTTTACTATGTTGACAGATTCTAATGATATTAGGATTTTTCTCTATATTTTATGAGTTCTTTTGACAAAAATTATGTCTAAATTCGATCCCTAACCCTGGATTTCAAATCTGTACTTTACCGTTATCTTTTCTCCTTTTTATTGCGTGCGTTCTTACTGGATTTTTTCCTGCGGTTAACTATAGACACACGAGTCAAATTACAATTTTTTAATTTTTTTCAACACTTACTCCTACAATTTAAATGCATATCTACTCTAGTATGTTTATAGCCACTCTCAGAAAAAAATACAGTAAGAACGCACGCAATGAAAAGAAGAAAAGATAACGGCAAAGTACGGATTTGAAATCCAGAGTTAGGGATCGAATTTAGACATAATTTTTATGTCAAAAGAACTCATAAAATATAGATACAAAATACCAAATATCATAAAAATCTGTCAAAGTAGTAAAAAGTTATTTATTTTTAAATAGTGCTTCATAGTCAGTGATGCGGAAATTCCAAAATGTGCCCGGTTCCGGTTCCGGTTCTGGAACCGCTCTTTCAATTTTGCCCGGTTCCGGTTCCGGTTCTGGAACCGCTTTTTTAATTTTGGCGGTTCCGGTTCCGGTTCTGGAACCGCTGTTTTAATTTTGCCCGGTTCCGGTTCCGGTTCTGGAACCGGTTCCAAACCGGTTCCGGTTCCAAAAAATTTTGGCTTTAACTTAGTATAGGTCCACTGAGATTCAAACTGTAAGTATATATCATTCAATTCGTCTCTTCGAGCTGAGTTCAAATATGCAAGAATTTCTTGCAGGAGACGAAAACTCGCAGAGATATAGGCCTCCGAAAATCGAAAAAGGGACCAAACATTTTTTGGGTGACTCGAAAATTTTGGATCCGGGTCAGGGTGGACGCAATTGAACAACAACAATTAAACGGAAAACGGGGTTTAAACGCCGCAGGCGAAAATTTTGTTAACTTTGGAAGGACAAGTCACCAGATTTCTTCACTTTTCTGCGCCGCAGGCGAAAATTTTAAGGATTTTGGAAGGCCAAGCACTAGATTTCTGCCCTTTTTAAGCGCCGCAGGCGAAAATTTTGAGAATTTTGGAAGATCCTTAAACCAAAAATCTTCATTTATTTCGCCGCAGGCGAAATTTTTGAAAAATTAAAAGTCATAGCAAAAAAAATTCATGTATTTAAAAATATGACAAAATTTTTTGTTATAAATAAGTTCATAATAATCTATTTCCTGAAGAAAAACAATTATTTTGTTATTCATTAAGTTCGGTTCGAACCTCACACAAATGATAATTCCTCAAAACTATGAACCTAACACACTATCCATTCAACCACACATCTTTTGAATGAAAAATAAAGATAATCTTTTTCACTCGTCTCAATTTTCCCTTCCTTTTCTTATCACTACTCCCATCTTTTGCCCATTTCTCTGATTTTACCCATCATTAGGGGTGTATCTTTGGAACCGGTTCTGGAACCGGTTCTAAACCGGTTCCGGACCTTTACCGGTTCCACGGTTCCGGTTCCAAACCGGTTCCAGGCCTTTACCGGTTCCACGGTTCCGGTTCCAAACCGGTTCCGGACTTTTACCGGTTCCACGGTTCCACTTCCGGAACCGGAACCGGAACCGCACCGGTTCCGGAACCGGAACCCCCGCATCACTGTTCATAGTTGATACACACTGTATATTATTTTTTTCAAAATTGGGGGGGGGGGCTATGATGAGCCTAATCATCACTAGCAGAGGTGGGACGGAACAGTCGGAGATGTCGAAAATCGGAAGAGCCGAAAATCGGAACTGGCTCAAAAGTCGGAAATCGGGAGGAAAAAACGTAGGAAACCGGAATTCCGACTTACCGCTGATCACTAGTTAAGATATTTTCATAAAATTAAAATTTTATACATAAATAAAAATTATAAATTCAAAAATAATTTTAAAAAGATTATTCCTCAGAAATCTCCATCAGAAGTATTATTATTGTCCAAAAATTTTTCTAATTCTTTTGTCGCTTCAAGAACTCTAGATCCAGCATCATAAGAAATTTTCTGATCTTTGAGATACTCGATCGACGCCAAAAAGATTAATGTACCTCTATATTCAGCGGGCTCGCTATTTTCATTCTTTATATCTTCATCTAATAATTCATTTTCTTTTAGAATAAGTTGGTTCATATCCTTTTCAATTTCTTCAATAATGTCGAAGCCGGTACTGACAACTAAAACTGCTCTTACGAGTGTTTGATTAATATCAGGCACTTCTTTTCCGTCAATAGCATTCTTTATTCGCTCATTCACCCTCACTTCTTCATCCTCAAAACGATTTGTATAATCATTTATATTTCTTATGGGCACTCTTGCTAGATTTCTTGCAGCATCTATATAGCAACTTAGACAAGCTTTTTCTGTAGATGGTACTTTCAGTCCAGACCAGCATTTAAGCACAGCACTAAAGATAATAAATTACTTAAATATCTCTGGAATTGTTCAAGACTGAATAACAGGGGATTACAAGGAATATCGTGATATAAGTAGAGTTGACGGTGATATAAGGAGAGTAACGTGAGATTTTTAATCTCTCTAAATCAACTTTGAGGATTTTGAGATATATTAGAGACCGCGAGACCCCTCATAAAAAGTCAAATCTTTGTTGTTAGTTTTAGCCGTCCAAATCAATCGAAATCCATCCAATTTCACCCCATTTATTCCATCAAATCCTCATTTAAACATGTAAAAATAAAAAGATCTGGTGGGAGGGATCTTGGTCTTTATTGGTAACTTTCTGCACCATATGCTAAAAAGATCATAATGGTGCAGACATTATAGATATATCGTGGCTAGGGTTCGATTTTTCAAACCAGGACGACGTTCGAGTCATTTTTTCGGGCTTTTTGTTGTCTGAGAAACAAAAACTAAAAATGTGCTAATTCTGGGAAAAATATTCAAAAAAACCCTGAATAGATCCAAAAAAGATCGAAATAGGCCCAAAATAGGTTTGAGGTCCTAAAAGGTCGAACTAGGTTTTTTAGGCTCTAATAACTCGAAAAATATAAGGTACACTATGCTGTAAATCTGATCATGGGCAGGCAGATCACAAAAAAAGTAAATAATGTAAAGTTATAAATAATGTAAAATTATAAAACTCACCTGTCACATTCACATAACATTTGATTACAAGCAGGCTGCGTTAAACACTCAATCTCTTGGCGGTCTATAAAAGAATTTTTTATACTACAGTTATGCTGTAAGTCTCGCTAGCATTGATCGATCTTTCGATCTCCTTGCATTTATCGCCGAGAGCTTTCGCTCAATACGTTCAGATTAGGGTTGCTGGCGGACGGTTAACCGAACCGGAACCATTAACCGGTGTTTTGGCGAATTAACCGTAACCCAAAACCGGGGGTTGAAAACCGGCGATAACCGAAAACCGGTGACCAAAACCGCCCGGTCCGGTTTTAAAGATACACCCCCAAATTTGGAATTTTTTTGGGAATTTTTATAAAATTTATAAAATTCTCGATAAATATGATTTTTTCAAATTTATTATTCAAAATGTTTGGTTAAGTGATGGCCCTTTCGGTCCCTCGCCAAAGCGTTTTAAATGCCAGTATCGTCTAATAAAATTTTACCCTTGAAGATTTTCTTCTCAATTTTGTACTTTGATGTATTTATTTCAATATAATTCATGCCAGCATCAACTTCAGGACAATCATGTTTTTTCTTCATTGCTTTGATGCATTCCTTATGTTCATTGCAACATCTTTACAAAATTAAGTTGATTAAAAATAAATTATTGAAAATGTTAATATATAGCTTATAAAAATTTGGATTAATTATCTATAATTAAAACTGTAGCTAAAATAACCCTTGTATGTTTATCCCTCGAAAATTCAAAATTTTTGTAATAAATTTAAAAATTATGGCCAACATTGTCAATGTAACAAATAATATTATTTCAGAGAAATTCTTTTTTAATTAATTTAAGTGATCAAGGATAAAATATTAAGAATTTAGGCCTTCAATTCTGAGGTGAACATAACCCGTGGTAAATTTTTATGCCGAAACTTTATATCTCGTTATATATTTATTTATTTAATTGAATTTTTACAAACTTGCTAATATCTTTAGTTTCCTCCTTCTCATTGCCACAGCTTCAAAATGAAAATTTAATTTTATTAAGACATTAGCAAGTAACTCACTGGCAACTATATTTATCATAAATCGAAGGTTCTTTTGTGTAATAACTGCATTCTGGCTAAAATAAATATTAACTTTACTCGTGAAAATATTAAATTATCCGAAATTGATTTTATGTAGTTAGAAAAAATAGCTAGCATTGAGAAATCGTTTCTCACCGAGAATTTCAGTATCGGGTTCGAGACCGAGAATGAAAAAACCGAGATCGATATTGGAAAAAAGCCGAGAATTTCGGTATCGGTCTCGGTATCGGTCTCGTCTTGTTCAACTCTAGTTAAAACTTTAGAACTTTTTAAATATTTAACCAATTTAACTATTAATTTCTTTTTTTATTAACATTGATGTTATCTATCTTTAAGGCAAATCAAGGGGGCTCATTATTTCCAGAAAAACTTTTTTGAAGAAGAAAATTTAGGTTCGGAATTACTATTACGTTCAGAATTACCTCAAAAATTTTGATTACTTTTAAAAATTCATATATGCACTCAAATAAATGTGAGGGTGGGATATTAACTAAATAACAATATTTTATTCAATGATGTTTAATTAAATATTTTTCTTAAATTTATACTAATCCCAATCTATTTTTGACTATTTAAACTATTTTTTATAACATCAATTTCCGACAAACCTCTTGACATTTTTCGCGTTTCTGTTTTTTGATGGTAAACATTCGGCTGCCTTTAGCATATTTATCATTCCAAAATAGTAAATCAGTCTCCAAAGTCACAAAACCCAAAACATCTTCGAGATGGATTCCATTCTTGTTGAAATCTCTCCAAAAGGCTTTGACGTTAAGCATAGCATGGATTTTATCGAAAATAATTAATTTTTAATAAATAACGAATATTAACTTAAAAATACCTAATTCAGGCTTATTTTTACTCAAAGCCTTCAGGAATTCAACGGGAACGATGTTAGTGATGTTGAAATAAGATCTACAATTTTTACAATTATAATAAATATTTAGGTTATAATTATTATTATTATATTTTTTACAAATAATTATATTTATAATCTTAAAATATATTAACTTAATGATAAATAGTATAAATACAGTTAATCTTGATTAACTTTTAACGACTTCAAAACTTATTGTAACTATCCTTAACATACACCAATAATATTCTGAACTAAAGGCCATAATAATTTATTCAATGAGGAATGCATAGTTTCTCTTGACTAATAACGGATCCCATTAAAATACTTTTTATCATTAATCTTTTTCTTTATTACAAAGAAGAATCTTCAAAAAACTGTTTGGGATAATTGTTAGGGTACGTGTCTTTATCCCAAATATAGTATACCCCTTCATGAGATCCGTGTCCTCGATTTAGTCTTAATATTTTTCTTGTTTATATAAAATACCTTCGGCCAGCAATATCAATGAAGACTTCCACAGTCTTATAATCGATGTTATAATAAATTTCAAAACCATTCATTTGGATTTCATTTTTATCAGAATTGCACAATCTTTCACCGTTACGTTGATGGATATTATAGCGTTCATTCACTTTAAACTTCTTCCCATTCAGAAAAGGATTTGTTAATTGACTTTCATAACAAAACAATAAGCTGTTCAAATTATTTTTTATGTACTTTTTAAAATTTTTGAAATTTTATTTGGATAATTTTATTTGGATATTTTATTAAAATAAATTAGAGCAAATATATGCTTCAATCATTAAATCTTATTATTTTCGTTTTAAATATTAGTTTATATTTTTAAAATTATCAGCGTACCCATTACATTTAGAAACTGATTTTGCCAACGATAAAACTTTTCCGCATGTCGAGTCCTTGATGGGGCATTTTTCAAAAGCATTAGCCGTGTTTGTTCGTGATGTTGCGATGGTCAGCAATGTTATTTTAATAAATAAGTTCACAGCTTTTTAAATAAATTAATTAAAATAATTTTTTGTTTAATAATTATTTTAAAACTTGCCTGTTTTACCACCTTCATTGGAATAAACTTTCTTTCCAGATTCCCGACGAGCCTTCTCATTCAACGATTTTCTATAAAAATAATCTAGGTAAAGAAAGAGTTTGCAAAGGTTTAGCCACTGGGCAGGTTTGCTCACCATATACGAACCTGCTTATCATATCAGGAGCTCTACCATTGAGCTCTAAGCTTTCTCTTTTATCCTTTTTGTTTAACCCCCGCCTAAGCGTTTTAAATGCTCTAAGGTAAATGAGCCCTACAATAATTTTTTAGAAAGGATATTTCCTAAAATAAATTTAAATAGTAAATCAGAATTATGTATATGGAAGTTTATCGAAATTGAATTATTTGGCTGAAAAGAAAATAAAGGCTAGTAAGAAATATATTCTTCAAGAAAGCTTTGTTTGAATGTTCTATGCTTATTTTTCTAATATTTATAATTAAATTCATTTTGTTCTCTTTTAGAAATAAATAAACCTACTTTCGATAAAGTTTATTTGAAAAAAGATTTTTAATTTTAATAATCATTTTTGCTTTTAAATTTAAAAGTTATTTGTATTAGGATAAAATAATTTTCCAATGAATATACAAATCAGTTTTATATTAACAATTTTATGAGCGTGACAAATTTGGATTTATTAACGAATTTTTATTTGAAAAATTTATTTAATGAATCATTTATTTTAAATTATAACCGATTAACAATTTTATTTTCACTGGTTTTACTTGTCAGCTGGTTTTTTAGTAGCTGTAAATTCCAACATAATCAAAAAAAATATCAAAGTATCAAAAATTATTAAATTTTTTAATTATGTAAGTTCATTATATCAAATAAATAGAATATCAAATAAAGCTTTTAAGCAAGATAAAATACTTTATGCGCAAAAAAGTTTTCCAAAAATTAAAAAATATGTAAATTTGTAAGATATGAGAAAATAATTTCACATTAGAAAATTATTAAATCTCTACTTTAAGGGCTCTGGTTTAAATAAGGGCTCTACTTTAAGACAGGAGTCTTATGAACTTTTATTCGTCCCATAAATGGGACACTTAAATTGTATCCAAAAATATTCTTTGATGGGACGTTGGATTGTTTCATGGATTAGTTCATGGATTCAATTTTAGGCTAAATTAACAAGAAAGAATTTAATGGAAGAGGGAAAATCGGGAACAAGGTTTACAACACTTCTACAATAATATCCCTAGTATTAGTTATTTACTTCAAAAACTTTACTAGTAATATTTACAATTTTCAGACCGTCACTTCTTGTAAAATTCCAGTTATTTTCAAAAAAAGCTAGAAAAACTTGATTAAGATATTCATTGATCAAGTTCTCTTAAAAATAATTTTTAATATTTTAATTTTAAATCAATTTGGAAATAATAATTTTTAAATTTATAAATGATTATTTAATATAAAAAATTTATTTTAAATTAAAATTAAGAATATCTTTTAAAATTTTACTCTTTATCTTCATAATTTACTATTGGAGAAGGAATGTTTTAACTCTAATCTAAATATTGATTTGAAAATGATAATTTAAATAAATTTAAAATTAATTGTTGTAAAAACTCGAAATTTAAAAAGTTAAATTAATTTTTAATTATACGTAAGATTTATGAAATCATTTAATGATATTCTAATATTAAAGCATTATCTTCTACATATTAGGTTTTTAAAAAAATCTGATATTTCCCAGCTACAAATCCTTTAATAATTTTTATTTAACTTTAATTAATTATTTTTTACAAAAATAAGATTTTTAAATAATCAACACAAAAAATCTTTGAAAAATTCACTTTTTCGTCCTCATCTAAGGCGCGCCATTACAAAGATCCTTATCACAAACACGGCATCTAACACCCATAAAGTTTCTGTTATAGAAAGTTTCGACTCCCTAAATAATTAATTTCTATTAAAATTAAATTTTTCTAGCCTTTAATTCCGAACATCGACCTCGCCAAGTAACATTCCTATGTTCACAGAACCCTTTATCAGCACATCCCATTCTATAATAACCAGGATTGAGCCAATCTAAAATTCAAAAAGACAATGAGACATTAACCATCTGTAGACTTTTTTCTAGTCCATCCCTAATTGGGTATTTTTATGAAATAAAAAATTCGGCAAATTGAAAAATAAAATTTCATGAAAATTATTAAAATAACCAGCCGGTTAAAATTTGCAAGTCAAAGAAAACGTCCACCCAGATTTCTAACATTTACACAAATTTTTAGTTAGAAGGAAATTTTATTTAAAATCTGTCGTAAGCTAAAATAGTTTTAGTAACTTCTAAATTAGTAAACCCAGTTTCTTCATTTACATTACAGGACATAAAATCTCAGTTAAAATTTTATCAATTTAATACTATAAGTTGTATAATATAAAATATTTAAAAACCGTCATATTTGCAGAGAGAAATGTAACACATATCGAAATTCGAAGGGCAATTATATTCACGCACACCAACGCGAAAATTACTGCCTGAAATCGGTGGTCAAAAAATATTTAAAAAATTAGGAAAAACCTTTCTGACCAGCATAACAACGAATACCTGAAAATATAAGACTTGTAAAGAAAAGAGTTTTTATTTTTTTTAATAATTTTATTTAACCACTTTCCAGTTTTACATTTAATTTTACTAAACCCAATTAAAAATTTGTAGATCTAATGTTTAATTGAGAAGGAATAAGTATTCCCAAAATTGCCCACAGAAAATAACATCTCTTCGTTTAAAGGCCTCAAAAATTTTTTAAAGACAAATTCATTTTAACATTAAAAATATTTTTAAAAATAACTGACCATAAGTTTCCGACACGCAATAAAAAAGCATAGTCAAGTAGAAGACAAACATTTAAAATTTTAAAGTTTTAAAATATTAATTAAAAAAGTTAGGAGAAAAAAAGTTTTAAAAATCTTTAAATAAATTTCTTTTAAGATAAAAAGCAATAAGTAAGGTTGGGATCTATTATTTTCGATTAACTAGAAAAATTTTCGAGAACATAATCCGATAGTTTTTCCGTCAGTTCCATAGCCTGTACATTAATTATTCAAACTAAAAATACAAAAAATATCAGGAAATAGTAAGTAGGTTGTTATACAAAATTTTCCCAAAATTTATAAACATTTGTAGTTATATTAAAAAAAATTTTTGACTAAATAAATTATAATTTTTTATTCAAAAAACAAAAAAAAATATACGAAAACCTCCATTTTATTAGTTAGAGAATTTTACTAATTGATGAATCAACAATTAATGAATCAACAACAAATATTATTTGCTAAATAATATTTGGAAATTAAATATAAAATTAATTTAAGATTTAAATTGTTTTTTGTGGATTTTTAAAAATTTTTCTATAATACCATTGCTTTGGAATTTAAAAAAGGCCAAAAAGTTATAATTCTTTCTTTCATTACAAAGATCCCGACTCCTGAATCGGAAAATTTTCCCGAGTTTTTGGACTCCTGATCCCGACTCCGATGTCAATTCCCGACTAAGTCGGGAAATTTAACATTACTAAGAACGACTTTTTTTGATAATATTATATGTATTCTTAATTAAAGAAAAGGTTAAAATATTTAAATATTTTCCAGATCACTACAAAGAACCACTCAACCAACGATCACCAAAAGGAAAGTGAGAGAAATTTTAAATACACATTTCTTTCACTTTTCCGTCAAAAATTTAATGTCAAAGTACGAGAGATTTTTCTGCAATAATATGTAGTATTTTTCCGTAATTTTTATTTCTTATTTTCGTAATTCATAATTTTTTCCGATATTTTCTAATCGTAATTCGTAACTTAAAAAACGCCGTAATTCGTAATTACGACGCACCTCTGCTAAATATGAGATTACTTACAAAATATTCTTTTGAATTTCGTAAAAAATGATGAGTAATTAAGTGGTTAAATATTTTTACCTTATTTTTTATTTCAGTCAGAAATAAATTAATTTAAAGATGTTTATCTGACTTTTAATTTTTTTCATAAAAACTTTAATTTGTAAAAAGAAAACTTAAAGAAATAATGTTTTTTCGTATTAGCATAAATTGATTTGTTTGTAGGTAGCATATTTATTTAAAGTCATTACATAATAGTTTACAGCATTTTTGATAAAATTAATTTATATTTTAAATTATTCCATTATTCGTTTCTGGGTAAATCTAACATAATACTACATAAAATATTTCACTAAAAACAAAATACTTTTTAAAAATGAATTTTTTCGTATGGATAGGGTTCGATAAATGAAAGCGAAAAGTCAACGACGTTTGAAAATCTTGGGAACACAGTTTATTTATAATTTATTTAATTTAGGCTTTCTCCTTTCTCTATTTCTTTTAGGATAGTAAATTTATCCATTAAATTAATCCTGAGATTTATAATATTTTTAGAACAAATATAAATATCAAAATTAATTTTCAGATTTAATTAAATATTAAAAATGGCATGGCATGGTGGCTGGGCGACATCTTCAAAGTATAGTTAAAAATTAAATTAATCAGAAAACAAATTCACTTTCAAATTTGAATGATTTATATATATAATTGACATTTAAATATTTCGATCTGTAATGGGAAATAGGTTGATTGGGGTTATTTGGGTTAGTATTCAGATTTAGAGAATTCCCCGTCCAGTCTTTCAATTTTATTTAAAGTTGATTGTATGTTGGAAGACCGAAATCCTCTAAGCAATTCTAACTACTATATTCTATCACAATCCGAACAATTCTGTTTCGGAGCTTCCTTATCTGTTTTAATTCATTAAAAAATTTTAAAGCAAAAAATCGAAAAATAATTGTAATTAATAAAATAAAATAAAAATTATTATATTTAGATTTAAAGAATTACTTTTTGACTCAAACACATACAAAAAGGTTAATTTAAAATTAATTTCTTTAAATTAATAAAAATTTAAGCCAGAAATATTAAAAAGTAAAATAGAATGGAAATTATTGGACGTCAAGTTGCATATTAAATTTGTTCAAAAAAGTTTATGTTTAAAAAGTTTGTAGATATTTAAAGAAGAATTTGTTTAATTTAAATAATTTTAGGTAAACAATTTTATAATGGAAAATGTTCTGCAATTAAATGGAAATTAAGATTTTTTCCTAATGGATATACAGAAGACGGTAAAGTAAATCATTTAAAATAAACTCTTAAAACATAAGAACCCTCGGAGCTTTTTATCTATTCCGTAAAGTATTTTATATCCAAAATAAGATTAGTTAATAATTTTTCCAACAGTTTCATTCAGAATTTAAATACCTTTTAAAATAAATTTTAATAAATCTCAAAACTTTTTCTGAAAATATTCAATTAAGCTACTTCAATTGCCCTCGTTTACGTAGGTAAAGATAATTCTGAGGCTAGAATAAAAGCAAAATTTACAATATATGCGATTAATTCTGATGGTAAAAGAGTGGATATTTGTTCGTAAGTTGATCAAAAGATTTTTTATTTGAAAATACAGTCTAAATAAAATAATAAAATTAGATGATATAATTGTTAAATTGTTTTTCCCCGATTAATGGCATTTAAAGTATTCGTCATTTCACCCTATATTATTTAAAAATTCAGTTCAGAAAATCAAAAGTCTTATTTATATCTGAAAAATAAATAACCTTATCAGATTAAATATCCCTCCTCACTAATTTTTGTTTTATCTTACTTGCTAAACAATTTGTTTTTAGGGATAAGGATAATTTTCGAAGCTATTTTCAAACTACTGAATTTGTTATTGACTTAGAAAGATCTCTTCATCCTGACGGTAAATACTTATGTGAAATTTTTGATTAGTTCTCATGTATTAATAAAAATAGAAAATTTAGACATCTAAATTAAAAAAAGACACTTTGTTCCAGTCTTAACTAAAGATTTTTCTGGGGTTTTTGGTCCTGTCTTGGGTATCTAAGAGGTATCTAAATATAGGTTTCCTCAAGAGGTATCTAAATATGAAAATCGACACAATTTAAATATATACCTATTTTTAAAATAATACATATAAATTTAATTACAAGATTCGTTATTGTTAATATGTGAAGTAGAGTATGCAACAATATTTTTTGAATCAGAAAAAGAGGATATTGAATCAACAATAATGATGAATAGTATGGGGAGGAAGTATGAAGAAAATGAAGATAGATTAAGAATTCTGAAAAAATCTTTTATTAAAATGTTTGAGGAAGAAACACTTGCTGATTTTGTAATTAAGGTAATTAATTTTACAGATGTATTTACTATATGACCACTTATTATTAATTCCTGAAAATAATCCCAATAATGAATTTTAATCTTTTATTTAATAATCCAAATGCATTTCTATATATAAGTGATCTAGGGAATTCCTAACGTTTCTGTGTCGGGAGTCCGGCTCCCAAATCAGGAACAAAAACTCGGGAATTATCGATTGACGAAAGCACGTTTTTATTTTTTTGTCGTAGATCCAAGATCATTTTCAGATTGATGATGAAACAATAAATACACATCGTTGTGTTTTAGCTCAAAATAGTGAAGTGTTTAAAAGAATGCTAGGACAGAATATGATTGAAAAGGAAATTGTAAGCAAAACATTAATAAAATAATAGAATCCCTAAATTATTTTAATTTAGTAAAATGTTATAGTTTACTTTTTTCCAAAACCGGAAAATTAATTTTGGTACCTATAAGTGTAAAATCAGAATACAATGAGAGATATTATTTAATCTTTCGTTAATTAATAAAATTTTAGGGTGAAATAAAAATTGTCGATTGTTCAGTTGATTGTTTTAGGGCAATGCTCGAATTTTTCTACAGTGGGGAAATTGAAATTAGTAGATAAAATTTAATTATTTTAATATTTTTAATATAAAATTTAAGATACTTTTGAGAAAATTGGGGAGGATTTATACGCAATTGCTGATAAATATGAAGTTGTTACTTTAAAAGAAGTTTGTGAGCACTATATGGCTATGTCAATTAGTTGGTTTTAAAATTTATAAATTAATTTTATTAAATAAAAACTTAGATAATTTTGTAGAATTATTAGGGTTAGGGGGTCAGTGTCGGTTTTAACTCTTAAGTTAATTAGAAATGTTATTTTATTAATTATTGACCTTAGAGGACAGAACTTAAAGGCCGCTCAAATTTTATTATTTCTTAGAACCTTAATAGGTTATAGCTATAGACATAATCCGAACTCACAAAAAACCACCTAAATGGAGTTACGAATTCTATATGTAGTTCCGATAGCCCTTTTCTGAAGTTCTCCAGTTTCCCCAATACTTAAAATGCTCGTTCTAATTTACGAAAACTAGGTTTAAAATGCATTAATTACATTAAATTACTTGTCAAAATTTAAATCTAAATGTTACAAATTTTAGCTTCTACAAATTTTAAAAAACGTTATGATTGTGCCAAAACTTATGGCCTTTTAATGTTAGAGAAGGTTTTTAAAATTAATTTTTCAAAACCTTCGATCTTTTCAGTCTTGTATAAAATATATTTATGCTAATAAAGAAGAATTTTTGATTAGTAAAGAATGGGAGGAATTTAAATCTCTTAATGGAGAATCTGCCTTTAAAATGTTAGAAGATGCTTTGCTTGGGAAATTTGTTATAAATGGCAAGCTTTGCTTTTTATATAAATGTGTAAATTGTTCTAGAAAAAGACTTAATAAATTTTTTTCTGAAAATACTTGATAAATTTAAATAATTTTTAAATTATCATAGTAAAGAAGAAGAATGATACAGATGTTGATTTTGATCCCTTTGCGAGTTTTGGATTTGGAGTGGAACCTAATGAGGATACTTATTGAAAAAATATTTTTGAATTTAATTGTTTTAATATTTTAATTAGAATTTAACTTTTTTAAATAATCTGCACGGAATTACTTTTTTTTTTGGACAAATACTTATAATCATTTTGTTTTATATAAAATCATATAATAATCCTCATTTTTTAGGTAGATTTAAATAATAATTTATTATCTATTTTTAGCTCTTTTTTTGAAATTAAGGGATTTTTCTTTAAATTATTTTTTTCTAAATACATTCCTTGAATAATAGAAAATATTTATCACATTTATCTTTCTTGATTTTTTTAAATTTTGCATAATTTGTGACATTATTTTATTTTTTATTTTGTTAATCTCCCAATTATTTTCTCTTCCAGTATTTTCCCCCATTCAATTTATAGAAATAGGTATTTATGGATTTTATGACGAACTTTCCAATTATTGTTCAGTTGTCGGAGGTATAAATGTGGTAAGATTTTCAATTCCTTGCTTAATTGGACGTTTAGGCTTTCCAGCAAATCCACCTTTCTTTTCTGAAATTAAATTTTAAATTTTCAAATTTTCAAATTTTTTGAATAAAAAAATATTTTTTAATTAAATTATTTCAAAAAATAAAACAATTTTTGTAAATTAAAAATTACCTCCTTCCCCAAAAGCAACAGAAATTGCCATTAAAATAAAGAAGAAAATAAATACTATCCTCATAATCAAAATTTTATTTTAATTAATATTTAGTTTTAGAGGCTTTTATTAATTATATTAATTGAATATACTCGTTTTTAAAGACTGCCAATTAAGTGTTGGATTGTATATAAAATTTTATTAAAGCTAGACAAATATTTTATATTGCGTAAAACTTTAATATTAGCCTTGAAAGAAATGAAAGAAAATTTTTAAAAAATTTAAACTAAATATAAATCAATAAGAAATAACTAAAAAAATAATTCAATTATAGTAACATTTAAATTCTTTTAGAAAATCTTGGCATTAAGAGAAAGAATGGATTTTTTAAAATTAAAATAAATGATGTAAAATATAGTAATTAAAAAATAATTTTTAAAAGTTATCGATAATATGTTAAAATTTTTAAAGGATTTTAATCTAAAAATATAATTTATTAAGTAATTTTCTCTTGTCGATAAATTTTTTTAAAATTCAATAACTCTGTGTAAATATAAAAAGTTAAAAGAAAAATTAAAAAAAATTTTTTTACATATTAATAAAAAATTTTTACATCAATGAATTTTAAATAAAATTGATTAATTTGAATTAATCTTTACAAGGAATTAAAATAAAAATTGAGTATTGGATAATCAATGGAGTTTATTAAAATTCTCATTCTCGAGATGAGAAGCTTATCAACTTCACAAAAATTATTAAGCAATGACTGATAGATGTATGTAAATAAAACTGTTAACTTAACTTACAATCGAGTATGTTTGATTAAAGTGTAAAATAAGAAACTATAAAAAGTTACAATTACTCGGAGATATCAGAGGTGGATATCATAATAGTCCTTTATTGATAATTATTTTATAATTATTGGTAGAGTCTCAATTTATGATACAAGTGTTTGATAAATATTGATTTCGAGGTATGCTGGGGATATGACGGGATTACGAAGTATATTAGCGGATTTAGAGAAAAAATGTGATTTAAAGCTTTACCATAGGAATTATTATGGGATTTGGAGTGGTCAAGAAGATAAAAGAAAAATAGGACATAGATGCTGAAGTCGAGGAGAACTGTGCTACAGATATGAAGCCAAAATTTTTCTGACCCGACACATGATGATAAGGGCTTCTCCTTTTAAAATCTCTTTTTAGAATTTTGAAATGCCAGAATCCGATCCGAATCAATTTTTGCAATGTCTAAATTAGTTTTTCAAAGTTCTTAGTTTTAAGATTTCAAAATAGAAGTTATTTTTGATTTCTTTCTGCCGTTGAGCATCTATGAAAACAAAATTTTATTTTGATCAGAGGTAACTTTCACTTGTCACTTAAGAAGCGAGTTCAGATGGCAAAGAAAAAATGAAATAATCAAAGTAGTGATTCTTATCAATTAAAGAACCGAATATCCTGTCAACTGTTATTAAATGTCTATTTTTCAATATAAAATTCATTATCTACTCAAATATTTAAAAATCTAGAAGATTTATTTTAAAATTTTTCATTTTTCCATTCAATTGTATACACGTGTATCTCATATGCGAGCCAATTCAGTTTTGTACAAACTATAACCACGTTGACTTGAAGCATCAATTGCATTTTTTAGACTAAAATGGCAGATAAAATTTTTAAATAGAATTGACGCAAATCCTCTGTCTCTTAATTTTTATTCGATTTATTTTTAGACGAGATCTTTGAATTGTTACACCTGGAGACATTAACAATTTTTGAGTAAAAAATGCCAAAATTACTTTAATAAGTATTCTAGACGATTTACGCATTAAATATATTATTTGTACAGCATAATATTTAAAGATTTTTAGAAATTTATAACTTGAATACCAAACCCTTTAAAAGCTCCTAATCATTTATGGAAACACATCAGGGTGTCCCTTTCCAAAACACCAAAATAGGGCGAAGCGACTTAAAAATATGGCAAAAATAGGGCGAAATTGGTCAAAAATATGGCAAAAAATAGGGCATTGTTTTAAATACTTAAAATTTTAAAAAGAATGCCTTATTATGCATATTTTTCACTATTTCAAACTAATCAGGAGCAGGGATTTTGTAAGATACAACTAAGAAAAACGAAACGCAAGGCCGAAAACGACGCAAAACGCAACGCAAAAGTTATTTTTATAAAAATTAGCCACTTTTCAATTAAAAAATTCTTTATCATTAAATATAAACTTGTGACTAATCGATTTTAACGGAGATATCCTCTTTAATCCCTGAATACCGTTGGTTGAATTACCCTTAAGAACAGCAAATACCCCAGATAATCCAAACCTGATATCCCCTAAAACGTATCATCGATTCACGACCAAATCCCCAAATCCTCGCAACATATGTAATCTAAGAATTTCTTCCAATTTTCAGCGCCGCAGGCGAAAATTTTTGAAATTTGGAGCTCAAGAAGCCAAATTTTTTCCATTTTTTGCGCCGCAGGCAAAAATTTTGAGGATTTTGGAAGGCCAGGAAGTCAATAATCCTTCATTTTTACCATTTTTTTACAAAATCCGAAGAATTTTTAAAATTTTACAAGATGGTAAAAATAGGGCAAAAATATGGCAAATGAGAAAATAGGGAAAAAATAGGGCGAAAAGTTCAAAAATAGGGCAAATGCCCTGTAAATAAGGCAAAAGGGACACCCTGAAACACATTAATCTAATAATTGATTAGCCGACTTTTGCGGCGCGTACACTTGCGGCTCAGACATTTGCGGCCCAGACACTTGCGGCTCGCCCCTATTTTGACACTTGCGGTCCCGACACTTGCGGCTAAGCAATTTTCGGCGCAGACATTTGCGGCTATCAACTTGAGGCCCAGACACTTGCGGCCCAGACTATTGCGGTTTTGCCATTTGAGGCTCCCCCCTATTGTGACACTTGCGGCCCGACATTTGCGGCCTTAACATTTGCGGCCCCGACATTTGCGGCGATGAGTAAAAAATTAAGTAAATTAAAATAAAAAAATATCAAGTTTTTTCAGTTTATTCTCAAATTCTCAATCAAGTTTATTCTCCAATTATTTTCTCCTTGGCATCATGATCCGGAAAATCCGGATAATCCGAATTTTTTAGACCAGGATCTGGACCAGTGATAACCGAAATTTCGTTTCATTTCGTTTCGCTATTTGTGCCCTTTTTTATTTCGGAGCGAAATAAAATAAACTTTCGGGCGAAACGAAATAAAAATACACTCCTAATGACATGAATTTTTGTAAAAAAATTTTTGCAATTTTTTTTTATTTTTACGAAATTTTGTGGGATTTTGATTATTTTTATACTGGACCCGGACCGAATCCGGATATTTTGCTCGACCCGGATCGAATTTTCCTGATCAAAATCCGGGAAATACGGGTTTTATCAAAATACACGAATTCCGGACCACCGGATCCGTCCGGTTTATAATACTTTAATTCTAATAATATTTTAATATACTTAATTTTTTAATCATCGCCGCAAATGTCGGGGCCGCAAATGTTAAGGCCGCAAATGTCGGGCCGCAAGTGTCACAATAGGGGGGAGCCTCAAATGGCAAAACCGCAATAGTCTGGGCCGCAAGTGTCTGGGCCTCAAGTTGATAGCCGCAAATGTCTGCGCCGAAAATTTCTTAGCCGCAAGTGTCGGGACCGCAAGTGTCAAAATAGGGGCGAGCCGCAAGTGTCTGGGCCGCAAATGTCTGAGCCGTAAGTGTACGCGCCGCAAAAGTCGCATCACCTAATAATTAACATTATATTCCAAAGAAAAGTCTTAAAATGAAATTATTACTGGGAACATTCATTGGCCTTGTGGCTATCGCTATAACTTTAGCCGGTAAGTATAAATAAATTAAAAATAAATATCCTTATTTTTATTGTTAAACTAATTTTCTTTTTCAGAATCACATTATCCAGAAGGTCCTATAGAAAAAGGTAAATACTTTATAAATATGAAAAATAATGGCAAGAAATCTGAAAATATCACAAAATCGGAATTAATAATAGAAAATAGAGAGCGGTCTGGATCTGGATCCAGACCTTGATTTTTCCTGGATCCTGAGTCCAGATTAAGGTATTTTTCAGCGTTCTGATTTTTCCTTGACCTTGATTTTTCTTTAACTCAAGGTCAAGAATCTGGGCAAGGTCCTTACTTAAAATCAAGGATCAAGGTTAAAGTTTTTTGAAAATCTCGCTCTCTAATCGGAATTAGAAATTTTTTAAAATTTAAATGAATTTCAGGTGATATGAGCACTCCACCGAGCCCATCAAATATTCCTGATTTTTGCAAGAGCAATCTAAGAAAAAACAAAAAAGTCGACCAATGCTGCAAGGAAGTTGATAAAATTCAATCTTCTGGCGGCTCATTGTGTCCAACTCCAAAGCCATGTACTATTGAAAAATGCGGACGTGTCTGTAACCGTTACTTCAGCCAAATGAGCGGTTGTAGCGTGTCAGCCAAGCCAGAAGATGATTGTGATAAAGGAAAAAAGCAAAAACATGAAAAGCCACCAAAACAAGGTTACCCATCAGGACCCGATGATTTGCCTGAAGCTACAAAACCACCAAAAGGAGGAAAAGCATCTGCAAAGCCACCAAAACAAGGTTACCCATCAGGACCCGATGATTTGCCTGAAGCTACAAAACCACCAAAAGGAGGAAAAGCATCTGCAAAGCCACCAAAACAAGGTTACCCATCAGGACCCGATGATTTGCCTTTAACAACTCAAGAACCCGGCTATCCCGGTGATTTGCCTGAAGCTACAAAACATCCAAAAGGAGGAAAAGCATCTGTAAAGCCACCAAAACAAGGTTACCCATCAGGACCAGGTGATTTGCCTGAAGCTACAAAACCCCCAAAAGGAGGAAAAGCATCTGCAAAGCCACCAAAACAAGGTTACCCATCAGGACCAGGTGATTTGCCTGAAGCTACAAAGCCCCCAAAAGGAGGAAAAGCATCAGCAAAGCCACCAAAACAAGGTTACCCATCAGGACCCGATGATTTGCCTTTAACAACTCAAGAACCCGGCTATCCCGGTGATTTGCCTGAAGCTACAAAACATCCAAAAGGAGGAAAAGCATCTGTAAAGCCACCAAAACAAGGTTACCCATCAGGACCTGATGATTTGCCTTTAACAACTCAAGAACCCGGATATTCTGGAGGACCGCAATCAGAAATTGTATCTTAATTTGATGAGAATAAACGGAAATATGTGTGAAAGAATAAAATATAAATTGATATACAAATAAATAATTTAATCAGTTAATATAATAATATTAAGTGATCAAAATTAAACATAATATAAAATTAAAATAAATTAATAATTGAATCATATAAAAAATATGTAATTTAAATTTGAGAATAAATAAATTTAATCAATTGAATTCTTCTATGATAAAACTTCATATCAAAAGTTTAGCTTAATATATATTAGGATTCCCAGAGATTCTCAGGTTCGGTACAATATAATAAAAGTCTAGCAGACATAAAAAATTTCGGATCATAAAAATTATTTTGTATTCCCGTGAGAGTTACGATATATTTATGACCATAAATCTGTAAAAGAAATTACTGCAAAATTGGCGCAAAATTACCTCTTTTTTCATAAGTTTCTGATCGAGTTCTGCCATTATTTTAAAGTTAAAAGTCGTGCCTACTTCTCTGTATATTTAAAAAATTTTCCCGTAAAATTCCAACTGGAATTTTTATAAGTAAAGTACTCATGGACAATGCCTTTAAGAACGGAGGGAGAAGTTGAAATTTTACTTTCTAAGTTAGGTATGTTTTATGAAAATAAATATTGTTTATCAATCATTATTGTATATATGAGAGATCGGACCAAACAAATATTTGGTCAAATAAAATCAAATATTTGATAGAATATTTGATTTTGCCGCTTGTCCGACCTCTAATACATATATAAAACTTTTTTTAATTAAAATCAAGTTAAAATATAGATTTTTAATCTTTATTTTTTAGAAATTTTTTGAAAATTTTTATATTGTCAATATTATTCCTCTCTACAAAAAATTAATTATTTTCAAGAAAAAAAATGTTTTTAACTAATTTCAAATTAATTAAATTTAAATTCCAATTAAAGAATCAAAAAACTATGTAGAGATTTTTTGGAATTTATAAAAATATCAACTACAAAGAAATAATAATTATTTTGTACAATTTTTTATTTTGCAAACATCTGCCTTCACAATTAAAAACCCCTTTTTTAAATTTATTAAAATATTAAACCAATTCTGGTTCTAAAATAGTTAATTTTAGAAAATTGTCTATATTTCTTGCTATTTATTAGAGATCGGAATTTTGTTCCGTACCGTATTCCGTACCGTAATACCGAAAAATACCGATACCGAAAAATACCGATGAAATTCAAAATGTTGCCGTACCGTATTCCGTACCGTATTACCGACTGTAATACCGATAAATACCGATATTTTTCATCGGTACCGTATTCCGTACCGTATTTTTTTTTAATTTTTCCGTACCGTATTCCGTACCGTACTACCGATACGGAATACCGATAAATACCGAAAAATACGGCCGTAGTACGGTACGGTCCGATCTCTACTATTTATTTATTATTCTACTAAACATTCAACGAATCAGAATTTCTAAAATAAATTTCATGTATTATTTAAATCTGAGTTTTTAATTCTGAAATTTTATTTTAACAAACAAATAATTTTTAGAACTACATAAGTATTTAAAATAAATATTTTCAGATAGCCCTTTAAATATTTGAAAACCACTTTCACTCATCCTCAACTGCATAATTTCGTTGCTCTGAGTACTCGAAAAGTTAAATAAACTCGTGTTTGGAGTAATGGGCTTGAATTTAGTCAATGAACTTTATTCTACGTTTTAACATAGAACCCAAGGTTACTTAGACTAGAATTTGTTTACGGGCATAGGAAATGGTTGTAATCACAATAATAAAAACAAAAGCATACCCGTAATAACAATTGAAAATTTTTTATTGATTATTGAAATCCTCTATTATATTTAATCTCCAACTTTAATTTCATTACCAATTTATTTTTAATTTTAAATAAAATTAATTACAATTTTAAAACTATTCATTTATTTAAAAATCAATAAAAAATAATTTAGCCAATTAAAGTTAGAAACCCCTAAAAAGCTATATAGGTAGTTTTCCCATAAAAGTATAAAATGTTAAGCACACCTTTCTAAACTATAAAGCTTTAAGTTTATTTCTTTATTTGGCTTTATCTTCGTTTTTTTCACGAATATTACAAAAAAATACTAAAGTTATTCAAACAATTAATGAAAATAAATAATAATTTATTAAGACGTCAATTTAAGCATTAAATATTCTAAAAATAAGCGTAGGTAAGTTATTATTCTGAAAATTGCATTTATTTGCTATTATATGAATAAATAAATATTAATTTCTTTAATTAGAAAAGTTAATTGTAAATACATACATACCGTATTTACTCTAGTAATCCCCCACTTTATTAATTCCACACCCTGGGGATGGGTTGAAACAATAATCCCCCTGGGGAATTACCAGAGTAAATACGGTATTTACAAAATATCATTAATTAATGAAAAAAAGAAAATCTCAATTTATGGACTCACTCCCAAATCGCCTTAAAAGACATTTTGAAAATTTTTAAATTTTATGCTTAGGAAAGCATTGTATACCAGGGATCTAGCCGATATAGAAATTCAATTCCCGATTTTCGGGAATCGCGAACCGGGTCGGCTAGATCCCTGTTGTACACATTAATTTATTTTTATCACATTATTATTGTCGGAAATCGTCGCGCTGATGCGTATAAAATTTGATTTGATTTGAAATCATTTAATCCGAATATTAAAAAATAATTTTGTATTTATAAATATAAATTTTGAAAAATCTTAAAAATAAAGTAGGAATTCATTTATTTATTTACATCTTCGAAAATTTTATAAAAATTTATAAAAATCAAAATATCAAAATTTATTTTATTCATTTTTTTCTTAACATTTTCCCTGACATCAAGTGCTAATTTTTATTTAATAAAAATTATTGAAAACGTAATGTATCCTAGTTAAGAATGTCAGAATTTTTTATCTTGACACGCGAAAAAATTTAAATAATAAATATGTAAAGGTATCAATTATTTTAAAAATTTGACACGAAATTACATTTTTATTTGTACATTATAATTTTTTTACTTTAAAAAATTACAAATTTTCACTATAATTATAGACGTGAATAAATTTTAAAAGTTAAATTCCTTTATACACAATAGATAAGATGATAGAGTCAATTTACTTTAATTTCTTTAATTGGGCAAATTTTAGATTTTATTTATTAATATTATTTATAATTTGTCTTTAATGTCTTTAATATGTATAATAATTATTCAGAAATAAATTTATTTTTAAAATATATTTTATAGTTTGTTAGATCCTTTATTTGGTAATTTACAGGTGAAAATAAACATTTTATTTAGAGAAAAAGGTTCTTTCGCCTATATTTATGTATAATTGCTTTCTTTTAATATTAAAAATATTTTTAATAATTTATTTGTTAGTCGAAAATATCCACCAAAAATATCAAAATTACATATAATATGTATTGAAAAAATAAAGTGAAAAATTTATATTTTAATTTGATAGAAGAAAAATGTTTTTTATTATAAACATCCCTTTAAACCCCTTCAAAAGTTAACAGAAATTTGAGACATTCGTTATTTAAATATTTTGTTTTAATTTAATTAAAATAATTAATATATTATAATACAAATATTTGTGTATTTTAAGAAATTTTAAATAAAAATGAATCAAACAGAATGTATTGAGGCTGAGGCGGCTGTTATTGATACCGGATATAATATTGTAAGAGTAATCCAGATTATCTGTGGAATAACTACATTGATATTAATTCTGAAAGTTATTTTGTCTTACAGAACAAAACAAGTGAAATTGCATAAAAATTTGATTGTAAGTTGAAAATAAATATTTAAAAATTTCTGACGAAAATTGAAGTTGAGGGTTTAGCACAAGTATCGAACTTGGTGCTTTCAGCAGAATTTACATCTCTGAGGTGCACAGATCTTAAATAGGTATTAGTTAATGCCCCCATTTTAAATTGAAATAAAAAGCCGTCACAGCCTGTCCCGGACACTTCTCTAACTTCTTGAACCTGTTTCAATGGCGCAAATTTAACGGAACCTGTTACACTAGATTTTCAACCGATATACAAAATAAAAATTTTAAAGAGTGGACGATTATTTTTTGATGGGCCTCCATGGGTGGACTTTTATTATATAAACATAATGGGGATTCTAATTAAAGCACTTATGTTATTTAACCGAATAATTTCCCGTAAAATATAAATTAAAAATAGATTAATGGAAAAAGTAATAAAAATGTTTTTATTTAGGTATTGGTTATTAATGTACTTTTACTTGATGCACTCTTTGTTTTATCATTTACGAGTACAGACATTTTGAATTTTGTAATTAAATATTTTTATTTAATTATTAAAAATTAAATTTTATTTAAGTATGTTAGCTTTACTTATAAAAATTCTTGTGATTGTTTCTTTCAAGTTTGGGTAGTTTATTTGGTAAGAATTCCTTTTTATTTGTATGTTGCTGGTTCTCCTTTGATTCATTTTGCTATAATGATTGAAAGAATTATTGCTACTATTTTTGTTCGAATTTATGAAAATCAAGGAAAATTGATTGCCGTTGCCAGTACGATTATTGTGGTAAATTATTAATAATTTAATATGGGGGAGGGGGAGGGAGCTCATGCCAGCCTTGCTACTTTGATCAACATCCTTATGTATATAATTTGATGGGTAAATGTTTAGTTCCAGGGACACACAAACCTTTTGCGGACATGTGTTCCTCGATCTGGATTTACACATTATAGTTGCAGAGTTAAACACATTTAAAGATGAAGGGAAAAAGACAAAAAATAAAATAAAAATTGCTTAACTTCAAAACCTTAATTACTTCCATTTTTATCATAAAAAATGTCCAAATTAATTTATAAATTCCAGTGGTTATTAACTTTTACGTATGGTTTCTATGTTTACATAAGCTCAATAGAAGATTCAACATTTAGTCATCCAATGGTCTATTTAACTTTAACAAGCATTTATAATGCTCATGTTCTTATTTATTTCCACTATTTTTTCTTGTTTTTGGTAATATGTATTGCTATTGCCGATTATTATTTAATTCTTCGTAATCAGAAAATTAAATCAAATTTGTAAGTATTTAATTAATTAAGATGGGGATTTTCTAAATAAATTGTAGAAAGTGTTTTAAGGGCCTTAAACCCCAGAAAATACTTACAAATAATTTTAAAATATCCTAGTATACGATTTAACGTTATGTAACGTAGAATTGAATGTCACAATTTTTAAATAAATTATTATATTTATATTAAAGTTTCAGTTCCATAACTTTCTACAGCCTCAGTCAAAGTTATCAAGCTAAACAAAACATTCTTGTTATGAGAATTATCTTTCCTCTTGATTTTTCTTATTCTTTTGTTTTTGCGCTATTTAATATTCTCTCAAGTTTTATTCGATCTAAACGTGATGATTATGGTCAACTAATTTATATGCGAACATACGAGGCTATAATTCTTGTAAAATTAAAATTCTTTTATTTAATAATAATTTTTTAATTAAGTTATTATTTATCCATGCAATTATAAAATTAATTATTTACGACTACTTTTTGACAAAACAAAATGATTTGAACAAAAATTTCATGAAGAATAATAAGAATGTCAGTTCAGAATTTTATTTTAAAAGTTTGAATTATGCTTGGAAATAAGAATGAAAGAATATTATTTAATTATTTTAGTAGTTTGTACTAGTGTTATTCACGGTGCCGTATTACCGCGGTATTTTTCGGTAATACCGCGGTATTTTTACCGATACCGAATACGGTACCGCACAATTTTAAAAAATCGCTATTTTTTCGGTATCGGTATTTTACCGAAATACCGATTACCGCGGTATTTTTACCGAAATACCGAAACCGATACGGCCTCAATCAAGAATACCGCGGTATTTTGCGGTATCGGTATTTTATCGAAAATACCGATACCGCAAAATCGCGTTTGAATAACACTAGTTTGTACAATTATTATACATACATTTACATATTTAGAGATAAAATTTAATATTATTAATTTAAAAAATTTATTTTATGTATATTATCGAAATATGCATTATTTTATTTTACACTGTTTAAATTTTGAAAAATATTTTTAGAATTTTTAATTATGCGAATTTTCAAAATTTTCGAATTGTTAAACGAAAATTCAAAAAAAAAGTTGAAAATTGCCAACCGTAAAAGTTCCGAATATATATTTTAATTATAGTATAACATTTTCTGTAATATTTATTATATTAATTTATTTGTTTCAGGTTCACTTACAATTTTAATCATACATCCGTCGTAATTATTTACTTTTTCTTAATATTATTTTTGGATATTCAGAGAACACTATATTGCAATTTAAAAAATTTTAAGGGAATTGAAACTTAAAAAGCCATCATCAAAATTTATTTAAAAATAATTGTCGGTTCATAAATTGCCAGTTTAGTTAAAAATTTTTTAAGAATTCTTAAAACAATTTTTTGTCTCTAATATTTTAGAAATTTTTTTGTTGCCATATAATAGCAATTTTAAATAAAAATCAAATTAAAAACTACTTTTTTAATTAATTATAATTTAAATAAGATAAATTTATTTAAAAATTTTTATTAAAAAACTAATTTAATTACATAGTAAATTTTAATTTAGTTAAATTACATACTACCCTTTTTGAATAAGCTTTTCTAGATACATATAAAAATTCGAATTTTTGTTAACAATTCTACATAAAATAAAAAAATCTAATTTAAAGATCTGCCGCAAAAAATCTGCATTTATTTACGATTCTAGGTTTAATATTAAGAAAGAAATTAAAGATACATATTTTCATTCATTTTTTATTTATTAAACCATGTGCAAATATTGGGAACTAATTTTGATCGGTACACGAATTTTAAAAACACATTTCCACATTTTTTATTATTTATTCCTTAATTTACTTATTTTATTTGCCATATGTTATTTTTCATAAGAAACCAAAAGTTTTATTTCGAGCATTAAATTAATTTAATTAGCAAGATTTTTATTTCGGGAATTAATTTTTAAATAAGATTTAAGAGGTATATTTTTGATAAAAAACAGGCACACCTTTTGAACCAGGTGTTTTGAAAGGGGTGTGTTCCAAAATTTATTTTAGTTTTAAATTATTTATTTATTTCTTTGCCAAAATTAGAAATAATTTTATTTGAATTAATTAAATTTACTTGATTAAATTAACAGAAAATATATAAACAACAAAAATATTTTAAATTCTAAAATTTTTGCAATTAAGATATAAAATATAACAGCTGAATAAAATGTAGTTATGCACAAATATCAAAAATAATTAGGCATTTATAGCAGTTTCCCTAAGTATTTACATTCAAAATATGTCAGGCATTAAACGAGAGCAATAAGAATTTTTTACCCAATAAAAACAAAAAAATAAACTTTATATTTGAGATTAATTTTGGTTTTTAATTTTACCTAGGAGATTATTTGTGTTTTACATATGCGCAATAATTTTTATTTTTTGGAGATTTTATTGATGTAAAAATAATATTTTTTGAAAGCTTTTAATTTTTTAACAAAATATAAGAATAGAATTAGGTATTTTTTGTTTTTGTTATTTTTGATTATTTATTTTGATTTATTTTAATTTTGCAAACAATTGAAATTAATTACGTAAATTAATTGTTTTATTATGTATAGAAAAACTGTTGGAAACACGCATATATTTAATAAAAAAGAAAAATTTTAATAATAAATTAAATTATTATTTATTTTGAATAAATATAAATTTATTTCTTGAATTTTCTAAATTAAAATAAATTTTTAGAGAAACAAATAATTTTCCCGGTTATTTTTTAAATAATTTAAAATGAATCAAACACTTTGTACTGCTGCTGAAATATCTGTTTTAGATACTAGTTACAACATTATTAGAGCATTCCATCTTTTATTTGGGACAACTGTTTTGATTTTGATTGTAAGAATTATTTGGTCTTACAGAACTAAATCTTTAAAATTACATACAAATCTTATTGTGAGTTTAATTAGATAAATGTAGAAGAGAATAAACATTTTTAAAATGTCCAAACAATTAAACCACGAGTTAACCGAAACGGGAAGGCAAAAACTTCACATACCCTTCCCTATTTAAATATTTTTCTTTATCGAACACAAATAAATAAAATGTGAAACAATAAAATAAAACTCCTGGATCCACAGGGATCACTTATGGAGAGGTATCATACAAAAAAAATCAAATACAATAAGACGGTTATTTTTTAAAAAAAATGTTAATTTAAAAATAATAAGCTAAAAAGAAATAAATATATATAAATGGACTCCACAGAAAAAAAAATATGAATGAATGTTTAAATGTTTAAAAAAAAATTTTTTTTTAGGTAAAAAAATATAAAAATATTGAATTAGAGTAAATTTTATTTAACTGTTAAGCAAATATTTAAATAAGAAAGTGAACATTTAGTTTAGGATAGGTATTATTGTTAATACACTCCATTAAATCATTACTCATATATTAGGATCTTCTGTAGTTAATATTTTGTCTATAAATTTTTTAAATTGCGGAATAGTATTTATTTTTTCAATTTCATTTTTTGGAAGTTTATTCCACCTATCTATGATTCTATGTGAAAAGAAATGATTATTCTTTGCTTGTTTTTTAAATAATTGATATTTATGTAGGCGCGGATTACTTCTGTTAGGTTTTGAAAACATTTGTTCTGGTTTTATTTTATAGAAACCCTTTACTATTTTAAAGGTTGTTATAAGATCTGTTCTTATACGACGGATATTAGTTGGAGGGAGATTGCATCTTTTTAGTCTTTCGTTATACCCTATTTTCTGGTATTTGTATTTATATCTTAGAATTCTCCTTGTAAAGCTTTTTTGTGGTCTTTCTAATTGTTTATTAAGATATTCTAATTTGGGGCTAAAATTTTCAGTGGAATATTCCATAATTGGTCTTATGTATGTTTTGAATGCCTTTACATATGTTTCTATTGGTAATGTTGTAGGTAGTGTTCTTAGAATATTGTTTAGTCTTATAAATGAGGATTTAGTAATTTTTGATATATGATGATCGAACTTTAGCTTGTTATCTATGTATACACCTAGGTCTCTTATGCAATTAACCTCTTCGATTTTTTCACCATTGATCTCGTAATTAAACCTAATTTTATTGTATATTTTTAAAACCTTTACTTTTTTGATAGAGAATTTAAGTTGATTTTTTTCTGCCCATTTACATGCATTGTCTATGGCCCCTTGTAACTCTATACAGTCCTTTTCTGTTTTAATTTCTGAATAAATTTTAAAATCGTCTGCATAAAGTTTTACTTTTACATTTTGTGGAATATATTGTGGAAGGTCATTTATATAGATTAGGAAAAGTAATGGACCTAATACTGTCCCTTGTGGGACTCCTGTTTTTGGCATAAATGGATCAGAAAAATGTTCACCTATTTTTACACTATGTGATCGATTTGAGAGAAAATTTGCTACCCATTGAATTATCAATCTATCTATTTTAATTTCTTGTAATTTTCTAATAAGTATTTCGTGGTTTACTTTATCAAAGGCTTTCTCGAAGTCAAAATATATGACATCTGTACCTATTTTCCTATCTAGTGAGCTATACCAGTCTTGCATTGAAGATAAGATTTGTAGTGTACAAGAGCTTTTAGGCAAAAATCCATATTGCTCTTCTGCAATTAGCTTATGTTTGTTAAGGTGTTCTAATATGTTATTTGCTATAATCCGCTCAAAAACTCTACAAGTTGGGTAGAGTATAACGAATAGGGCTAAGTCGAGGAACAGACTCATGAATTTCAACTCATGAAATGACCAAAACGGAATATTTTTAAAAATCAGAATTTTTCAGAATCTTTTTTTATATTCTTTTCTAAAATATTTTAATTTTTTTAAAATTCTTATTCTTTAAAAATATTGAGATTTTTAGAGAAATACCGATTTTTAAAATATTCCGAGTTTTGGTCATTCCATAAGTTGGTCGTTTCTTGAGTTGGTCGTTCCTTGACTCGTCTTTTCCTTGACTTGTCGTCCTTGAATTCTCTGTTCCTTGACTTTGTATTTCATGAGTTGGAAATTTTTATAAATACCCATTTATAAATACATAAAACAAAATATATTCAAAAAAACTATTTTAATAAATTACTAGGTATTAGTCGGCAATTTACTATTTCTTTACGCGATTTTTGTGATGTCACAATTGGGTACTTCCGTAATGTATTTTGTGAGTTTTTTTATTATTTTTTAAATTTCTTACCTATTTTATCTTCTCAGACTATTCTATTTACTTATAAAAATTCTTGTGATTGTTTAATTGAAGCTTGGGTAGTTTATTTACTCAGAATCCCCTTTTATTTGTATGTTGCTGGCTCTCCTTTGTTTCATTTTGCTATAATGCTTGAACGCGTTTTTGCTACTATTTTTGTTAAAATTTATGAAAATCGGGGGAAAATGATTGGAATAATTATCACGATTATTGTGGTAAATTTAACAAAAAAATAAATTTTTAATAATTTATTTCAGTGGGCATTATCTGCATTGTTTGCTTTATATGTTTATCTAAGCTCTATTATAGATGCCCAAACATTTAACCATCCAATGGCTTATATAACATTGACAAGCACTTATAATGCCCAAGTTCTGATTGATTTCCATTCTTTTTACCTTGTCTTGGTAATATTCATTGCTATTGCAGACTATTTCTTATTTCACCACAACAAAAAAATCAAATCAAATTTGTAAGTATTTGAAGACTAGAGAGGATTAAGCTCTAATTCTTGCGGAGTATTGGACGATTTTTCGGGCCAGGCAAACTAGGGTTCCAGATTTAAGGTCAGGTTGCTTTTTAATAGTCACGGTGGTTCCGGTATTTTTACTACGGATACCGTGGTATCTCATGCTGCCCTCGGTGAACTGGGGGAAACAAAAAATAAGAGTGAAAAAGTCCCTTTCCTCAGATTTTGAATTGACCTAACCCTAGACCTAACCTAATAAAAACAATACTTATTTTTAAAATTAAAGTTTCAGTGCAGTAACAACCTACAACCTCAGTAAAAATTACCAAGCTAAACAAAACATTCTCGTTATGAAAATAATATTTCCTCTCGACTTTTCTTATTCTTTTGTTTTTGCAATTTATAACTTTCTTTCGAGTTATATTCGAGCAAGACGACCAGAAACTGGCCAATTAATTTATATACGTGCAATTGATGCTATAACTCTGGTAATTAATTCAACAATTTTTTTAAAGAATCTTTAATAAATTTTTAAAGTTAATTGTTCTTCACGCGATGATAACTTTAATTGTTTATGACTATTTTTTGAAGAAACAAAATGATATAAATAAAAATTTTATTAAAAAGAATTCAGCAATGAGTACAGACATTTATTTTAAAAAATTAAATTATGCTTGGAAATAATTATTTTTTTTTTCAAAAAAGTATCTTAAATTTTAGACTAATATAAAAAAATTTTTACAAAGCTTTATTTCAATTTACCTAATTTTATTTTTAATTAAATTCAATAAATTTTGTTTGAATAGTTTTCATAAAGGATTTATTAATTTTAAAATATATTAAGATAAATTTATTATTAGGATTTATCATGATGGAATGACAGATTTTTTAGTTTTGGAAGGGGTTAAAAATTTTATTTAAAATTCGATCGGGATTACCGAAAATAAGACTAATTTATTGCTACATAGTATTCTTTTTCCAATGCAAAAGATTGTTATCGGATATATATTTCAAGTCCATTTCATTATATTATAAAATGTTTTTTAATGCAAAATTTCTTTTAATTAAATCGATCTTCTTGTCCAAATTATTAGCTGCTAAAGGAATTTCCCCAAAAGAATCGCCCAGACTCATTACAATATTATTTTTGCCATCTTGTTGTGGCCATTTTGGCAACTGTCCACCATTAGGATTATATTTCTTAACAAAATTAACAATATAGGAAGACATTTTGTCAGACAATTCAAGCTCCTTTTCACCCGATTTTTTAGAAACTGTATTAAGGAAATAAACAGTTTCTGCTCCATGATCTGTGCCAACAGTATTTTCATTACCAGGAAGGGGATGCTTCCATAAAAATTGATATAAGCATTTTTTAGATTTTTTAGCCAAAGTTGCCCCCACATATTTTGTGTAATAATACTGTATTCTCGAATTGCGTTGTTTGTGGCAGTCGCTAAAATAAATTATCTCTCCAATTTTCTTAGTAACAAGTGGGTCTAAAGATGAAGGGAGCCCGCGCGCAGACAAACAAAATTAGATAAATTACAGTCGCGCCTCGATTTTTAGTAAACCTAAATTCAAGTACAGACAATTTCAAGTAAATTTTTAATTTTGTTTGACTGCGCGGCGGCTACCTTCATCTTTTAAACTAGAGTAGGTCGAGGTCGAGGCCTCGCCGAGGCCGAGGCCGAGGTCCTTGCCCATTTTCAAACCTCGACCTCGATTTTGCTGACCTCGGGCCTCGGAACCTCGGTCTCGGTCCTCGCCCAGAACCTCGGCGAGGACCGAGGCTAAATATACACCCCTAAAGATGACTTTTTTATCAAAAATAAAAGAATTCTGCCCATTCTCCATCAAAAAATTCTCAAAATTTTGCCTGCGGCGCTATAAAAAGAAGAATTTAAGTTTATTGGTTATCCTCGAACCTCGGCCTCGGACCTCGGCCAAAATTTGCCCCTCGACCTCGATCTCGGCTTTTCTAGCCTCGGTGATTTTCGGTCTCGGTTTTTTCAAAAAACCTCGACCTCGACCTACTCTATTTTAAACCCACTTGACTCAGAGAATGGGAGAGAATTATGTATATACTAATTTATAAAAATCTACATATTATTCTTACTTGCAGATGAATCGTCATTTGCTGGGTATAATTCCATAAACTCATTTGCAAGACTTTTATAATTATTAACTGCAGACCGTTTATATTGTTCTAAGGTAACATTATTTGAGGGGGACGCCCCGAATTCGTCATAATTGAAGCCTTTAGGTAATTTTATTGAAGGATATAATTTGATTAAAATTGAAAATACCCATAAGAACATGAACTTTGTTTTGTAATCCTTCATTCATTATCTTTTTAAATGACAGAGGAATTACATATCCATCGAGTATTTGACGCCACCGTCGTAGTTTCCATGTTTGTTGATACTAAAGAAGATATTAGTATAATTCTTGAATTTTGTTAGAAATTTGAAACGATTTTATATAGAAATATGAAAAAAAATACAAGTTGCTCGACTTTCACATCACGCAGTTTATCTACAGTTATATCTCTTTTTACATTTACTGATTCAAGGTGACTCAGGCTGACATTTTCAGCTTCCTGTACTGTATAGGGGGTCATCCACCAATTTATCGGATCATCGGGATAAAAAGCACCACTACTTTCGGAAATGACCGCTTTGAATAGATTTGACGCCAAAGGAGAGAATGCAAGTAAAAGTGACGAAATTGCACCTATAAACAAAAATTTTAGCGATTTTTAAACCAAAAATACCGGCAGATTGTCCTCCAACAGTAATTCGTTCTGGATCTCCTCCAAAATTGGCAATATTGTTTTTTACCCATTTTATAGCAAATATTTGGTCTAGAAGCCCGTAATTTCCGTGAAGCTTTGGATCTTCTTCCCGCAATGCTGGATGTGTAAAAAAACCGAGAAGCCCAAGACGGTAGTTGATTGATACAAATATAATCCCTTTACTCGCCATAGCTTCACCATCCCAGGCACCTGCTGAGGATGAACCATATGATAACGCTCCGCCATGTATCCAAATATATACAGGTTTTGGATTTGCCTTTTTTCCAATTGAATCAGGTGCTTAAAAATAAATTTTGAAAAAATAAGCACCCCTTTATTACTTGTAAAAATATTCAAGAAGAGACAATCTTCTGATCCAATAACTTTTGTACTATCTTGATTAACAGTCTGAGTACATAATTGTCCCCAATTAGTTGCATTTTTAATCCCATCCCAGTTTTCAGCAGATATTGGCTCTTTCCATCGTCGATCACCTACGGGTGGAGCTGCATATGGAATGCCTAAATCAAGAATCAAACAATTTTTTTTATCAACTTCATTTCTACCTTTAAAAAATACAACATTTGGAAAGCTATTTCCTTTAGCTCCTCTAACTATGCCACTTTCTGTGCATGCAATTGGCGAATTATCAGATCCATTGCTAGGCAATGAGCAATTTTCTCGTTTAGCTTCGGTAAGAAAAGTAATAAAAATTAATAAGAAAATTAACAAATTCATAAGTGATAATTTTTTAATTTTAATTCCAGAAATTTACTCATTTTTAAAAGAATTCTTTTGTAATAAAATTGCCAACACTAAATATTTAACCCAACCAGGATATAAATTTTCTAAAATAAAATATTAACTAATAATTATTTTATTACGTTAAAAAATTATAGACGATTTTATGGATTTATATATCTGTATAAACAACTGTTAATTGACTATATTATACATTATTAACTATTTACACTTAATTTATTCAAAGGAAGTACCGATAGCTTGGCTATAACTAATTAAGCTCTCGATGGGAATATTTCATCGCTTAAGCAGTGACTTTAAAATTATTTGTCGTCTGTCTGAAAATTAAAGTTTAACTCTTAAAATTTTATTCATAGTCACTCGTGTGCGTACAGTCAGGTGCAAAGTATGGAAACAATTAATGCAAGTGCAATCTTACTTTCACCAATATATCTAGTGTAATTAATCAATAAATATAAAAAAGGATATGTTTTTATTAAAGTCCAAAAAATTCTCTATCAGAATTATAAGCTATATTTAATTCGTAAAGCTATGCAGAAGCGGCGTGGTGTAATGGATAATACATTAGTCCTGTCAAGGTTGATTTTTCCAAAATACTTAGGGCGGTATTTTAAAACTTTAATTACAAATTCAAAGCAAATTGAATAATTAAACTTGTTAAAATTAAACTTGTCCTCTCGGAAATTTTCTAAATAATTATATTACTTCGATGAAGATAATGTTGCGATTTTATTGCAAAATTGCTTAAATTGTGTAAGCATTAATTGAGTAACAGCTTTTATTAACATTAAATTCTTAAAAGTATTTTAAATTAAAGTAATTGTTAATAAATATTTATTAAATTCAAATTAAATTACATATGTTCACAATTTATTAATTTATAATTTAATTTAAAATAATTATTACAAATTTAATAAAATCTTTAAACGTTAAACACTTATTTATTTAATTTTTATTTAATTAATTTATTTTATTTAATTATAGATATAAAGGAAAATTAATAAATTTTCTTGGTACAAGTTTAAATTAAGTTTCCCCATTTTCTCCAATCAAAATTATTCAGACTAAACGAGGTTTTCATCAGACTAAAATTGTTTAAATAATTTTAGTTTTTAAAGAATTGACATTAAAAACTCAACGTAAAATTTCCTTTTTTTCTATATAAAAATTTATATTTATATAATTTTCAATTTTGTTTTGCAAAATTTTATTTTTATTTTCTCTTTTTAAATATACAAATAAATAAATATAACAATTAAAAATAAATGACATAAAATTAAAAAGAATTTATTTTAAATTTATAATAATTTGCTATTTAATGTTAAAATATTTATTTAAATAATGGGAATAATAATTAAATTAATTTTTTTGAATTACCTAAAATATATCCATTATTTCATTTTTAGTAAATAATCTATGTATCAACAATGCCATATTTGTATATTTAATTATATCTTAAAACTAACAATTAAAAACATTTTTATATTTGTATGTAAAAACGTAATTTATTAGAAAATTAACAAAATTATTTGTTAAATTAATTTAAAAACCCTTAATCAAAATTAAAATGAATAACTCTCAATGTATTGCTGCCGAAGAGTCAGTCCTCGATACTGGTTGCAACACTGTGAGGGTATTACATATTATTTTTGGATTAATTATTGTTATAATGTTAATAAAAGTTATTTATTCGTACAAAACAATGTCAATGAATTTACATAAAAATTTACTTGTAAGTTAATTATTATTGAAAGGGTTAAAAATTATAAAATAAAAATGTAGAAAATAGAAAAATTTATCTGAAAGTTTACATGTGAAACTTTATCAAGAATTATACAAAACAAATATTTTAAAATATTTAATTATTTTTTGAAATATTTTATGAAAATATAGCTTAGTTTTTTAGTTTTTAAAAAAATAAAAAATTATTATAGTATTTAAATATTTAAGATATTAATGAGTAATGTATTTATACTTTACTTAATTTTTGCATTGTCACACATTAGTTCTGCTTTCTTAAATTTTGTAGGTTTATAAATTATTTTTAAAATTTATTTAAATTATAACGGGGTGTTATACCGACATCTGTTCGTTAAACGTGAAATATTTATTACTTCTGTATAACTTAAAGAAATCTTTTTTCTGAAAAATAAAATAAAATCTAAAATGAAAATAAAATAAATCTAAAACAAATTATAAGGGTCGTGGGAAAATTCGGGCAAAATTTTGTTTTTAGAATATTATACTATTTTCAGATTGTTATATTCACATATATAAATCCCTGTGATTGTTTAATACAAGTTTGGTTAGTTTATTTAATCTTAATGCCCGCATATATTTACAATGCTGGCTCTCCATTATTTCATTTTGCTATAATGATTGAACGCCTTTTGGCTACAGTTTATGTTAAAATTTACGAGAAACAAGGAAAAAAGATCGGAGTTGTTAGCACGATTATTGTGGTAATAATTTAGAAAATAGATATACGTATTTCTTCGATTAATTACCTCAAATAATTGCCAATCTTACTAATTACTATCAAGTATGTATAACTCCCTAATGTAAACAAAAATTGCGTCATATACTACATACTAAATAAAAAAATTATTGGTGGTTATACTAGTGCTAAAAATAAATCTGGTGCATATACTTAGTAGAGGCTAATTCTAGATCTCGTACAATTCATCTAGGTCATATTACTTAGTACCTAATTATGAATAATAATAATGATTGCCTTCAATTAATTACTCCCTCTAACATGGGGGTGGTTAATAATTATCCGGGAGAATTAATCGAGAAAATACTACATATAATTTAAAATCTCTGAATGATATTTCTAGTGGTCATTAACCTTAATTTTTGGTTGCTTTATCTACATAAGCACATCGATGGACACAGAAACATTTGGCCATCCAATGGCTTATTTAACCTTAACAAGCAATAATAATTCTCAAATTTTGCTTTACACTCATTCAGTTACAATATTTTTGGTATTTTGTATCGCTGTTGCTGATTATTATTTAATTTATAGAAATGAAAAAATTAAAACTATTTTGTAGGTTTTATTTATAAATTAATTGAATAAATTTAATTTAGTTCAATGACTTCATATAGTCTAAGCCAAAGTTATCAGTCTAAACAAAATCTTCTTGTAATGAGAATAATTTTTCCTCTCGATTTTTCTTATTCTTTTGTTTTTGGACTTTACAGCATTCTTTCAACATTTATTCGTTCAAAACGAAGCGAATATGGTCAACTAAAATATATTCGCGCAATTGACAGCATAAATTTGGTATAAATAAATCGGAATTATCTCTGAAAAACATTTCTCGTTAAGTTACTCTTTGTTCACGCAATAATAACATTAATCCTCTACGACTATTTTTTGAAGAAACAAAATGATTTGAACAAAAATTTTATGAAAAAGATTAAAAAGAATATTAGTTCTGAAATCTATTTTAAAAATTTAAATTCTGCTTGGAAATAAATTTTTAATAATTTTCTTTTTTAAAATTATCTTTTCAATAATGAATCTTTTTATCTCATTAAAAATATAAAAAATAAAATAAAAAGAATAAATTTTTTAAATTATTGAAATATCTCAAAAATTTTATTCCAATAACATTTCTATTAATAATAAAGTATTACAATTGTAGCATTAAATCATTAACTTTTGGAAGCCGGGAATTTTAGTATCTTAGACATTTTATTCTTTGATTCTAAAATAAAGTGCCAAAAATTAATTTAATTTATAATTTTTTTATATTTTCGTTTATTTAATTTTTAATATTGAAGGAAAATCTAGTTAATTTAAAGTGTAAGTGGGAGTGTTGCAAAGAATTTAAACAAATAAATTAAAAATTGTTTGGAATAAGTTTTGATAAATTAATTAATTTTTAATTTAAATTAAAAAGAAAGTGTAAATATTAATGTAGGTATATGGGAAAAAATGTATTTATTCTTGCTTTATCAAGGAAACTTGAATTGAGACAAAAATAATTTTTTAAATATGTAATTTAAAACATCCACAATATCAAAAAAGGTTTCAAAACTTTCAGAACCTTGTTACAAACTATAACTAAATTTTTTCGATTTTCTAAATTAAAATTATTTTCCTTTCATTAAATTCTTAATTTTAAGAAATGTCAAAAGATTTTGTATTATTTATTCTTATTTTGTAGTTATCATAAATTGTTAATTTAAAAATTTATTTAAAAATAGAAATTAATTGACTATAAAATTTTGTAGTTTGTTATATATTCATTGTTTAATACCAAAAATGTTTTTTGTTTATAAATTTACTTAAAAATTTTGTTTAGTGTTCAGGTTTATTAATCATATCGGATATTTTGGTCAGTCGACTTTGAGTTTAAAAATATTTTTATTAAAATTTAGATAAAAATTTTTTTTAATATTTTTTAACTATTAAATATTTAATTAGAAAGTTTTTTAAATAATTTTTTTATTAAAAAATTTTATTTTTGTTTACATGTCTTTATGACTTAAATAATTTTCTTATTTTGGATATATTGTATTTTTAATTTTATTTTAAATTTATTAGTGACGTATTTACTCGTAAAATATAAATTTTATAATTCTATTGTTTAATTTAATATATTTTTTTGACAAAAATGGCTGTCAAGCTAAAAAATAATTAAAAAATTTAAACCTGAAATTTGGTATAAATTGTTTTTGTATGTGTTATGGGAATTATTTTAGAATCTTTTATTAAAGAAATTTTTTCTCATAAATGTTATTTAAAATTTCTTTTGTTTGCGTGAAAAATCTATTTACTTTTTGTTTTAATACCAATGCTTTATTTAAACTTGTAAAAATAATTTTTAAATTATATTTTTGGTACACACACATGATTCGACAATATTTTGTATACTATCTTTCCGATATTTAATTTTATTATTTATAATTTAATATGTATAAGTATTTTATTGAACACCAACAGACCCGTGTATAAATTTAACCAAACTATGTATTTTAGAATATTGAAATATTTTCGTCACTTTTTAAACAAAATAAATATGTACCTATCTCCTTTTGAGACAAAATTATAGCATTACTAAACTATTAAATTAATTTAGAAATTAAATATACATACATATAATTATTTAAAATTCAAATGAATCAAACACATTGTAAAGAAGCAGAAGCATCATTACTCAACACTGGCTACAATATAATAAGGGCTTGCTATATTATTTTCGGATTAATTGCGTTATTATTGTTAGGATGGATTGTTTTATCTTACAAAACAAAACCGATTAAGTTTCATTCAAATCTAATTGTAAGTTTTATATACATACAACTATTTAATTAATAATTTCGCTATCCATGATTTGAAATTTTTTTTAATTTATTCACTAAAAAATAAATTGACTTTAATAAATAATAATTGTCAAATAAATTTTGATCTATGAGATTGCCGGAAAGGTTTTTATCTGATGGAAAATACATTTTCACTATCCGAAAAATAATTATTTTTTCAATATTTTTTAGTAATTTTTGAAGACAAATATTCACTAAAATTTAAGATATTAGTTTGCAATGTACTTTTACTTTATGCAACTCTTGTTGTTTCCTATATGCTTGAAGCTGTTTTGAATTTTGTTAGTTAAATTAAATTTTGAATTAAATATTGATTTAAAGATTGTTTTATTTACATATACGGATCCTTGTGATTGTTTAACTCAAGTTTGGGTAGTTTATTTGATAAGAATGCCTGCTTATATTTATATGGTTGGCTCTCCATTATTTCATTTTGCTATAATGATTGAACGTGTTTTGGCTACAGTTTATGTTAAAATTTATGAAAATCAAGGAAAAAAGATTGGAATTATTAGCACAATTATTGTGGTAATTATTTTAAATATTTTTGTATAATAATTAAATTAAAATTAATATAGTGGTTATTAATATTATTATTTTGTATTTACATTTATTTTTCAACACAAATTGATGTCAACACATTTAGTCATCCAATGGTTTATCTAACATTAACTAACAGCTATAACTCTCAAATCTATATTTATCTACACTTTTTTCTCTTATTTTTGGTTATATGTATTTCTATGATTGATTATTTTTTGATCCATCGAAATAAAAAAATTAAATCGAATTTGTAATAATTTTAAATTTATTTTAATTAATTATTTAAATTTAAAGTTTCAGTTCAATAATAAATTACAGTCTTAGCCAAAGTTATCAATCTAAACAAAATATCCTTGTAATGACTGTAATCTTCCCCCTTGACTTTTCTTATTCTTTTGCATTTGCACTTTATAATATACTTTCGAGCTTTATAAGATATAAACGTGACGAGTATGGGCAACTTATTTATGTACGAGCTTTAGATGGAATTATACTGGTAATAAATTGTAAAACTTTTAAGCAAAACTTTAAAGTTAACATGGAAACCTAAAAATTTTAGATAAAAATTAAACTCGTATATTTACTTAATTGCCAATTTTTGGCTTTTTATTCCCTGACATCCAAATAAAGAAGTGATAGATGTAAAAATACCAGATTTTTGGGTGGTTGATCTTCCTCATTATTCTAATTATAAGTCAAAAGATAAAAAGTCTTTTTAATGATTTTCACAGGACTGTTATTTCCCTAAATAACTCCAATTATTGTCAGCCTTTTGTTACTTTTAGATTTAGAAGTTATAAATTTATATAAAGTTTGATAAAAACTATAAATGTTACGAATTTTTAAATTTAAGATACTCTTCATCCATGCAATCTTAACTTTATTTGTCTACGACTATTTTCTAAGGAAACAAAATGAAATTAGAAAGAATTTTGTTAAAAATAATATGAATATGAATTACGAAATTTATTTTAAAAATTTAAATTATGCCTGGAAGTAAATTTCCTATTGAATTTTCTATAAAATTGAAATATTATGTAGATATTAAATAAATAATTTAAATTGTGTTTTTTATTTGTTGGCTTTCAGAAAGATTTGAATATGAAATTTTGTTAACGAATATTTTTAAATTATTATTTAATTTTATTGCGGGAATTATTCCCGAAAATATTTTAAAAATTACTCTCTTATCGGGATTCTATAAAATATTTTGTATTCTCCGAGAGGGTTATCCTCTTTTTGAAGACGAGAATTTTTTTGCTTACAGTTCTTTATTATAATTAATTAGGTATTTTATCATCCGAATTAACCAACTCCTCCACCTCCCTGCAATGCATTAAAGCATAAAAATTAATTTATGAATTTGATCATTCAAATTTTTTCAAAAACATTGTGTGTTATTTGTTTATGTACATGCAAACAAAGCATTACAAAATTGGCATTTCAAAAAACCAGTACAAAATATATAAATAACTTTCTAATTGACTACAAAATCTAATATTTTTTTTCCTAATTAATTAAAAATTATTTTTAAATAAACATATATAAATTTAATATTGAAAAATGATGGTGTAAATTATTAAATTTTAGAAAATAATTGATGATATTTTTTATACCATTTTATAGCTTACTTGTTATAGAAATTTAGTTAAATCTTCTATTTTATAGCTTAATATTTACAATATACATTTTTAAAAATTTATTATTAGAGAAATAATTAAATTATTCCTCTTTATTGAAAAAGTTGAGAATTTCTTTTATTTTAATTTCCAAATTAGTAAAACTCAATTATATTTAAAAAAATATATAAGATTTTATAAATTTTAGATTTTTGTTAAGATTAAATTTTTCTATTTTAGTTTTTCGTAGAAGAATATATTTTGAGCCAGGAAAGCTTGTTCTATGTATTTTATGACTAAATTTATTAAAAATTTGAAAATCCAAAATTTAAAAATTAAAAAAAAGTTTTTTCAGACAAAATACATATATTAAATAATTTACATTTATTGAATTAAATTAATATGTGAAAAACCTCAAAAAAATATATGGGGGTGTATATGTGAATATTTATTTATATTTCAAATTATGTTACAAGGATATAAAGTCAAAATCTTATTAAAGAAATTTTCCCATATTTTTATAAGAAAAAATTTTTAATTTCCAATAATTTTAAAAATTTATTGTTAATTAAGTATTTTAATTATTTAATTTTTTAGTTGAATAAAATAATAAATTAAATCTTTATCATTAAAAAATGAATAAATCACAGTGCAACGAAGCTGAGACGGCAGTTTCGGATAGTGTTTACAATATTGTAAGGGTATTACATATAATTCTTGGAACGATTATTTTAATATTATTAATTCGAATTGTTTGGTCTTATAAAACAAAATCTGTTAATTTTCACAAAAATCTTATTGTAAGTTCATTAGATTTTATAAATTAAAAAAATGGAAATTCTGGCAATAATAAAGGTTATATGTATTGGATAATATTTTATCAAATATACATTTTTAAAACCTTTATTAATATTAGAAATATTTCGAAAATATTTTTAAAAAACTTTATTGAATGCTCACTTGAGAAAATAATTAATAAGGCCCTTTATGGTATCGAAAATATAAATAAATATTTATACATTCCTAAATACCTCTTTTGAATTTAACGAAAAAAACAAAAAAAAAAATAATGCTAATAAATCATTAAGATATTGATTACCAATGTGTTAATTCTTATTGCAATTTTTGTATTGTCTTATATTGTTGGAGCCGCTAAGAATTTTGTAAGATCATTTTTTTCAAAATATATTTAATAATCGGTTTCAAGATTGTTTTATTCACATATACGGATCCTTGTGATTGTCTAACTCAAGTTTGGTTAGTTTATTTGATTAGAATGCCTGCTTATATTTATACCTTTGCCTCCCCTTTGTTTCATCTGTCTATAATGATTGAGCGTGTTTTGGCTACAGTTTATGTCAAAATTTATGAAAAACAAGGAAAAAAGATTGGAATTATTAGCACAATTATTGTGGTAATTATTTTGTGGTTATTTTTAAATTTTTCAAAAAAATTTAGTGGTTATTAACATCAATTTTTGTCATTTATATGTACATAAGTTCAATTATTGATGTTGAAACATTTGGCCATCCAATGGTTTATTATGTACTTACAAGCATTTACAATGCTCAAATACTTGTTGATATCCATCTTTTCTACTTAATTTTGGTTATAATTATAGCTATAACAGATTATTATTTAATTAAACAAAATAAAACAATTAAATCAAATTTGTAAGAATTATTTTAAATTTTATATTTTTAAAAATTAAAAAGTTTCAGTTCAATAGCATTTTATAATCTTAGTCAAAGTTATCAAGCTAAACAAAATATTCTTGTAATGAGAATAATTTTCCCTCTCGATTTTTCCTATACTTTTGCTTTCACAATTTACAATATTCTGTCGAGTATAATTCGAGCTAAACGTGAAGAATATGGTCAGCTTGTTTATGTTAGAGCTTTTGATATTATTATTTTGGTAATTAAAATTAATTTTAAAAATTTAAACTTTTCAAATTTTAAAGCTACTTTTTATTCATGCAATCATAACTTTGATTGTTTACGATTATTTTTTGAAGAAACAAAGTGAAATCAACAAATATTTTATTAAAAAGAACATGAACTTGAGTTCAGATATTTATTTTAAAAAATTAAATCATGCTTGGAATTAATATAAAATTATTTGTAAATTTTATAATTGTATATTTTTGATATAAATTTTTTTCTTTATTTATCAAAAGTTTGTAAAAAATTTTTGGAAGATACTTATTTTAAAAGACATTGGGATTTTTATAATTATTTGACTGTCTAAACTCAAAAAAATCCAAGGACAACTTGATTGAACAAGTTTATGCAAATCTCAGTCAATTTTTTAATGTCCGCCTATTATTCTCTGCCATAATGAGACCATAGCTCTGCTAACAATTGAAATCCGAGTTTAATTTGTTGTAATTCGACTAGCTCGAATAACTCTTTCTAACGTCTTATAATTTGTTCAATAAAAATATTCTCTTAATTAATTCTCTTAATTATTAATTACATAAAATATATTTTACAATTTTATCAAAACTAAAAAATTCTATAAATATATTATTCATTATAAGCATATATAATTTATATTATTTTTAGAAAAATCTTTAATTAAAAAATTGAAATATCTAGATATTCAATTCCATTGGGAATTAAGTTTTTTAAAATAAATTTCAGTAGTATATTTCGCACTATTTTTATTAAAATTCTGATTAATATCATTTTGCTTCTTCAAAAAATATTCATAGACAATCAACGTTATAATAGCGTGAAGCAAAGGTAACTTAATTGTTAAAATAATTAGAAAAATGTATTTTAAAAATGTGGAAAAGGAAAAATAGTTTGGATAATTTCTTTTAACATTATTCAGCATTTTCCTTAAGCCTTTGAACAGAGTTAAATGTCTATAACAAGATTACCCGAGGTCTATGACAGAATTCCATGAACCATAAAAGGAGGCTTTCCAAAATTGTTGAAACTTTCGACTTTGGCACTGAAAAAGTGTAAAAAACCTTACATACCGTCATTAAAATATCATAACTGCGAATATAAACAAGTTGGCCATATTCAACACGCCTCATCCTAATAAGTGTTGAAAGAATAATAAATATGGTATAGACGAAAGTATAAGAAAAATCTAGAGGGAAAATTATTCTCATTACAAGAATATTTTGTTTAGCCTGAAAACTTTGGCTTAAACTATAATTTGTTGCTGAACTGAAATAAAATTCTGAATTAAATTATTATAAATTTAATTCCTTACAAATTTGATTTAATTTTTCTATTTCTTTTAATAACTAAATAATCTCCAATAGAAATACTTATTATAAGTATAAAAATAAAATAATGAATGTTTATAAGATAAAAAGAATTTGAAACATTTGTAAGTGTTATATAGGGCATTGGACGATCAAAATCTAAGGCGGAGCTTAGATAGACATATAATGCAAACAGAAAATTTAATGACCACTAAAATTATTTAAATTTTATACAAAATAAAAAATATTTTTGAAAATAATTTTTTGTCCAAACTGTCGATGTTTTCAAATTAAACGTAATAGGCAAATTATTCAATGTAACCACGGAAACAATATCTTTCTACTACTGTTGTTTTTGTTATTGGTTTAAACTTAACTTAATCTTAGTTTCGAGGTACTCAATAATAATGTTAGGGGTATTTTTGAATACAATATTAGGGTTCTTCTAAAAATATAACTGATGTCTTCATTAGACAAACCATTCTAGTAAATAATCCCCAAACCAGAATTTAGTTTATAAATTCACTTATTTGGAAGAATTATTTTTCAAATACTTTTAATATCGGAATAATTTTTTACCAAAATAATAGTTGCAGTAACCCCAAACATTTTCCCTTGCTTGTCATAAATCTTAACAAAAATTGTTGCCAGAACTCGTTCAGTCATTAAAACAAAATGAAATAATGGAGAGCCAAGAATGTAAAGATAATCTGGAATTCGAATTAAATAAACAAGCCAAACTTGGATTAAACAATCACAAGGGTTCGAATATGTGAATAGAATTAACTAAAAAATATTTTAAAATAATTTTATTGAATAAATTTACGAAATTATTAAAAGCTTCAACAATATAAGACAATGTCAACAGCAAATATATTATTAGAATATTGCTTATTAATATCTATAAACATTTAAATATTTTAGCTAATTTTAAATTTATTTTTATTAAAATAATACTCTAAATATTTTTAAAAAGTGTATAACAAGGGTTGTACAGAATTCGAGTATTCCATTAAAGTATTCCATTTTTCCATTTTTGTATCCATTTTTATTATTAATAAACATATAGATCTGAATCTACTCCTCATTTTAATACCAAGTATAGCTATATATGTTGATATTCTCAGAGTTATAATTTTTTAACTTCACTACCTCGTAGTGAAATTCACAATTTATTAAAGGGTTAAAACTTACAATTAAATTTGTGTGAAATTTTAAAGATTTTGTTTTGTAAGACCAAACATTCCGAATTACCATCACAACAATAATTATTCCAAAAATAATATGAAATACTCTAACAATGTTAAATAAAGTATCCTTAACAGAATCTTCAGCATCATTACATTGTGTTTCATTCATTTTTTAAATTTTTCCAATAAAATTAATTTAAAATAAATTGGAGAAAAAACAATTTTTGGAAAGAATAATTATGCTTATTCAATGTTTTTGCATTAATATGAATTTAATTTTCATGTTTATAGTCTTTATAAGGGCGTGGTAGTATATAATTACATTTGTATGAATAATTTGATTATATACATAGAGGTTATTTTATTATTTTACAAAAAATATTTATCTATGTTTAATTCACCTGTTAGGGTAATTAAATTAACTATTAAATTAGTTAAATGCTAAAAAATAATTTTTTGTATATCCGGTACACAAATTAGGTTTTTAAAACTTATTAATTACATATAATTAAATAATAAATTTATAATAATTAAAATTTAATAATTATTTACTCTAAAATAGATATCTCTTTTCTGATAAATAATACAATGATTCTACATAATTTTTCACAAATTTACAAGAGCCTATTGAAATATGTACTTTTTTGTTACAGAATGATTAGAACAAAACGAAAAAACAGAAAGATATCTCTTCTCTAAAATTAGACTACATAAACTGATTAAAAACTAATCGCCGGAGATATTTTAGAATTTAAGGTATATAGACATTATAATGTAGATACATATAAAAATATAAAGATAAAAAATTAATTCCATTGGGAATTAAGTCGTTTAAAATAAATTTCTGTTGTATTTTTTGTTCTATTTTGAATAAAATTATGATTAATTTCGTCTTGTTTTTTCACAAAATATTCGTAGACAAACAATGTTATGATGATATGAATTACAGGCAACTTAATGAAAAAAAAATTGAAAAAAAAACATTTGAATTAAAAGCATAATTTTGTATTTACCAAAAATATAGCATCATAATTCCGAACATATACAAGTATTCCATAATCTTCACGTAATGATCTGATAAAAAACGATAGAATATTAAATATCGCAAAAACAAAAGAATAAGAAAAATCGAGAGGAAAGATAATTCTCATCACAAGAATATTTTGTTTAGCTTGATAACTTTGACTGAGACTGTAGTCTGTTGTTGAACTAAAACTTTAAAAATTATTTAAAATATTAAAAATGTTTTCTTTTTCAATAATTCTTACAAATTTGATTTAATTTTTTGATTTCTTCGAATTAAATAATAATCAGCAAAAGCAATACATATTACCAAAAATAGGTAAAAATAGTGCAATTTAAAAAGAATTTGAGAGTTGTAAATACTAGTTAAACTTAGATAAGGCATTGGATACTTAAATGTTTCGATTTCCATAGATGAACTTATGTAAACATAAATAGCAAAAATTGTTATTGATGACCACTAAAAATTAATAAAATATTTATAAAAAATAGACAAAGTAGATAATAAGTAGGAAACTTGTTGGACAGAATTTTTTGAAAAAAATTGGGGACAGATAGATTAGATAAATTATGTAACTGTTTTAAAAGAAGTACACATCAATTTATGGTTTCTCTTATGTTCACAGATTGATAATTTAGTGGATTAATTCCCCAGTGATATTATTTTATCCAATAATTCCTTGATAGGAATATCGAAATCAAGTAAATATGTACTGTATTAAAAATCAAAATTCACCCCAATAATTGTGCTAATAATCCCAAACATTTTTCCTTGTTTTTCATAAATTTTGACATAAATTGTAGCAAATATACGTTCAATCATTAAAGCAAAATGTAATAAAGACAAACCAAAATTATAAATGTTTGGAATAATACGAAATAAATAAACTGTCCAAACTTTCATTAAACAATCACAAGGATTTGTATATGTGAATAAAACAATCTTTGTAATTAAATTAACTGTTAATCTAATTTTAAAAAATTACAAAATTTTTTATTGCGGCACCCATAAACGACAATACTAACAACATATAAATTATTAATATATTGGAAATTATTAACTTTAATTAATTTTTTATTTAATAATTATTCTTTAAAAAACCTTACAATAATATTTGGATGTAATTTTAGAGATTTAGTTCTGTAAGTCCACACAAGCCTTAAAAGCATTAATAAAACAATTATTCCCAATAAAAGATGTAATACTCTAACAATATTGTAACTAACATTAATAACTGATGCTTCTGCAGCTAAGCATTTTGTTTTATTCATTTTAATAAATTAATCTATTAATTGAAATTTGTAAAATAATTTAATAAATTTTTTTCGTAAATTATAATGAAAGTTTAGAAAAAAATATGAGTTTAAATTTTATTTATTTCGAATCTCGACTCCGAATTTGACAAAGTGAAATTCAACTTTGAAAATAAAATAATAATTTTATGATTAAACTGACAGCCTGAATTCAGGTCCGGGATTCGAAATGAAATCATATTCGGACTCAGCACAATTAATTACTTACTGGCAAACTCAAAAATATCAAAAGAGGCACTTTTTCCTCATTTCTTTTGGGGAGATAAAAAAATCAGAGAAAATTTGTCATTACCATAATTTCTTTTGCAGATAAGGTTTTGTAATAGTGTACAATTCAAAAATACACAATTACACTAAAAAATTAAACTTTTCTCCTTTATATTATCCTTTTAATATTTATCAATTATTGTTGATTGAAAGTATTTTGTTAGTAACAATTTAATAATTTGAAATTTAAAGTTAAAGTCAACAAAATTAATTCTTGGGGATACATTAAGGGCAGATGTTTCTCACGAGCCAATAAAGTATTTATTAACATTTTAATATTTATACATATATAATTATGAAAAAAAATTTTTTCATTTCAATATTAAACTTGATAATTAAAATTATAATATTAACTTATTAGCCTTTTTTCTAGAACTATATACCTTTTTTTAACATACCTTTTTTCGAGTTTCAGAATTAAAAAATGAATCAAACTCAATGCTTTGATGCTGAAACATTCGTCCTCGATTCAAAATTTAATATTATACGAGGAGTATTAATCATTTTATGTACAATTATTTTTATTTTACTTTTGCGTATTATTTGGTATTACAAAACAAACGCAGTGAAATTACACACAAATTTAATTGTAAACTAAATTTAATTATTAATAAATTGGGTTAAGTTTTGACGGTGGTAAAAGTCGATTTTTCTCAAAGAGCTGGGATGAAGGGTATCACACTCTACTTTATGAAATGATTATTGAATGAGTTATAGGTTCCGGAAAATTAAAAGACTATAAGGGGAGTAAAATGATTTTTGGGGTAAAAAAATTCAAATATACAAATAAAGCCCTTTCAAAATAGTTCGCAAACTAATACATTAACACTCAATCACAACCGATCATTTTAAATTTTCAGATATTAATCAGCAACGTTCTATTTCTTTATGCAATTTATGCACTTTCATTTATGCTTGAAGCTGTTATTAATTTTGTCGGTGTAGTTTTCGAAAGATCCCATAATAATTAATTTTTAGATTGTTTTATTCACATATTCAAATCCTTGTGATTGTTTAACTCAAGTTTGGTTAGTTTATCTGATTAGAATGCCACAATACATCTACTATCTTGGCTCCCCTTTATTTCATCTTGCTATAATGTTTGAACGTCTTTTGGCTACAATTTATGTTAAAATTTATGAGAAACAAGGGAAAATGTTTGGGGTTATTAGCACAATTATTGTGGTAATTATTTTCTGTTTTATTAATTTCAAAATTCTAGTGGATATTTAATTTAATATTTGGCCTTTACCTTTACATTACAACACAAATGGATACCGACACATTTGGACATCCGATGGTTTATCTAATACTAACAACGAAATATAATTTCCAAATAATTATATACCTCACCTTCATTTTCTTGATTTTGGTAATATGTGTGGCTATAGCCGATTATTATTTAATTGTTCGGAATCGTAAAATTAAATTAAATTTGTACGTAAATATACAAATAAATTATTTAATTTAACAAATTTAAAGTTTCAATTCAATAACTTCCTACAGTCTAGGTCAAAGTTATCAATCTAAACAAAACATTCTTTTAATGAGAATTATTTTCCCTCTTGATTTTTCTTATTCTTTTGTTTTTGCATTATTTAATGCTCTTGCAAACTTTTTACGATACAATCGCGATGAATATGGCCCACTTGTTTATGTACGAACATATGAAGGCATAACTCTAGTAAATATTTAATAATCTAGTAAACGCAAATTTTCAGTTGACTCCTTTAACTCTTCACACTCTTGAAGTGTGTGGGGGGGGGGGGGGGGGGGCTCTTCATTTTTTCTTCATTCTGTCCAACAGGGATCCTCAAAGTCCGTCTTTTTTTGCTCTTCCGCCTTCCGTCTTCCGCCTTTAGGCCCTCTTCCGCCACCGTTTGGAAAATGAATAGTCAATATCTCATCGTGGTATTTGGGTGGATTAATTGGTATATCAGAAGATTCTGGAAGGCCAAAAACAAAAAAAATCTTCCATTTTGTCGCCGAAAAATAAAATTTTTTCAAAAATTCGAAAATCGAAAATATCACAAAATTTCGAAAATCATAAACAAAAATCGACATTTCGGATCAGCTCTTGTGGGGATTCAACTGGACATTTACCTTTATAAAATCTTTAAATTATTATATTAGTGATTCGAATAAATTAAATTAATATGTATTTAATTTTATATTTATAAAAATCCTTTCTAATTTAAGTTACTTCTAATTCACGCCATAATAACATTAATTGTCTACAACTATTTTTTAAAGAAACAGAATGGAATTAAAAAGAATTTTGTCAAAATTAATATGAATATAAGTTCAGAAATATATTTTAAATATTTAAATAATTCCTGGAAATGAATTTTTTGTATATATTATTATACTTAAATAAATTATTCTTTTTTAATAAAAATTTTATGTATGTATGTATTAATTTCAGATGAATTTAAAGTTAATTTTTTAAGCTAAAATTCCCAATAATATTCCTACTTTTCTAGTCAAATAAATTATGATGATTGATTATTGACTTGAAAAATTTCTGCAAAATCCTGCAGTTTAATTTTACGAATCCTCTTTTTTAAGTTACGAAATTCATGTAGTTTTTAAAAATATTTTTAAATAAAGATTACAGTGTAGTATGTACGCCAGATGCAAAGGTTTAACCAAATAAGAATGCTCTTAATCAAATAAAATTGCTCTTCGTATCTAATGATGGAAATTTTTTTAATAATTTTTTTTAAATCTTTTTAACTCTTATATTATTTAGTTACAGTCTTCAGAATAAAGGAGAAATTGGCTATTTTGTAGATTAATGTTAAAGAAGCAATTCATATTATGCTTCGTATATTTCTTGACATAAAGTTTTTAAAAAATTCTTGGTCTGTTAGATAAACCTCTTACCCCAGTGTAGAATTATGATAAATTTGTTTTATTATATTTTTTGCAATAATAACAATAATTAAAAATTTTACCTTGTGCTATATACTTTACATAATTTAAATAATAAAATTAAGTATTTAGAAAGCATTGCAACCAGTGATGGGAAGTTCCAAAATTTCTCTGGAACCGGTTCCAGTTCCAAACCGGTTCCGGGCCTGTTACGACCGGAGGTGTCCGAGATTTGACTGAATGTTGACGTGCACACAATAACAATTTATCCGGCGTAGAAATAAACAAAGTGTAGGCGAAGGTTAAAGGGTTGGAACAGACGAAGGAGATCAGGGACTAGCCGCGCTAGTATGATCCTTTAGACTGACGCTTTCACTGGCTTTTATACTATAGCGATACCACTACACAACAGGGCCTTTACCGGTTCCACGGTTCCAGTTATGGAACTGGAACCGAGTCGGTTCCGGAACTGTAACTGGAACTTTCCCATTACTGATTGCAACCCATTTACAATTTTTAAAGGAAAAAATAAATTTTATTTTATTATGAATTAAATGAATTAAATATAACTTTTATGAAATAACATTAATATAAAACATTAAAAAATTCAATTCCATTGAAAATTAAGTTTTTTAAAATAAATTTCTGTATCGTGTTTTGCATTATTTTTATTAATAAAATTCTGATTAATCTCATTTTGTTTAATCAAAAAGTACTCAAATACAATCAAAGTTGTTGTGGCATGAATGAAAGGCAACTTAATGATTTTCATTAAAATTAATATTTATTTATTGTGTTTTATTTTAAATTTTATAAAGGAATATAAAAATAAAACTATTGTACAAGATTTTGCAGAAGGAAAATTTAATTGATATGATTAGGAAAGTATTAGATAGTTTTCAAAATGACCGATAATAATACACAATTATTGTTAGTGTTTACATATTATTTATAGGATTTAGGAAATCATTAGTAGAGATTAGATTTTTGTATAATTATTTATTTTGTTTGAAAACATCATTTTATAGAATATGTATACTATAAAGGGTAGAATTTAACATTGTTTACCAAAATTAGGAATTCATATGTTCGCAGAAATGTTAGTTGTCCGTACTCTTCACGTTTATATCGAATAAATGTTGAGAGGATATTAAATAATGCAAAGACGAAAGAATAAGAAAAGTCAAGAGGGAAGATTACACGCATAAAGAGAATGTTTTGTTTAGATTGGTAACTTTTGCTTAAACTGTACGAGGATACAGAACTGAAACTTTAAATTAATTGTTAAAATTTGAATTTATAATTTAATTTCTTACAAATTTGCTTTAATTTTTCTGTTTCGATGAATAACAAAATAATCACCAACTGCAATAAATATAGCCAAAGACAAGAAAAAGTAGTTAATGTTTGAAAGAACTTGTGAGTTATAAATTGATGTAAGTGTTATGTATACCATTGGATGACTAAAAGTATCAACATCCATAGAAGAGCTTATGTAGACATATAAAACAAATATTGAGGTTAATAACCACTAAAAATATTTTTTAATAATATAAAATAGGAGAAGAAATGTTGAGTTTCTGTACAGCCAAAGCGGTTATTTTATAATGGGATCTGCCTGTAATATTTTTGTTATCCCGATCTGGGACGGGCGCATTGCGTTTTGCTTTATTTGCGTTAAATTTTGGCCTAGCATTGCGTTTTGCATTTTTCCCAATTGTCTCTTCCTCCAGTCTCTGATCCGATCATAAAATTAAATTATCAAAGTCAAATTATATCAATTTTACCACAAAAATTGTGCATAAAACGGCAATCCTATTTCCTTGATTTTCATAGATTTTAACAAAAACTGTAGCCAAAACACGTTCAATCATGATAAAAAGGTGAAACATTGTTAGTCCAAGAATGTAGAGATAACCTGGAATTCTTATCAAATAAACTAACCAAACTTGAGTTAAACAATCACAAGGGTTTGAATATGTAAACAAAACAATCTTTAATTTAATTTTTATTTAAAATAAAATTCCTTAATTACAAAATTTTTAAAAGTTTCAACAATATAGGACAAAGCAAAAATCATATGAATGATCAAAATGTTGCTAATTAATATCTAAAATATTAAATTTTATTATTGTTTAATCTCCTCAAATAATGGGTATTATTACGGGTACAATTGCGAGACCAATGTACCGCCGAGCTACATACTTTTTGAGTTACTTTAAACCTATCAGGGTGTCCGGATTCGATGATTGCTAAAGCAGATATAGCTCGGCGATACATTGATCTTGCTGCAACGTGAAACAAAATTAAATCTCGACCGAATTTTTGGTTTCTATAGAATTTTTATTTTTTTTATTGAAATCAAGTTCGGCCAAAAAAATTTTCTCGTTTAGCTAGGGCGTTAAAAATAAAAGCATTATCAGCCTAAAAACATTATTATACAAAGGCCTTTGATTGAATATTTAAAACCTACAATTAGATTTTTGTGTAATTTTAGAGATTTAGTATTGTATGACCAAACAATTCTAATTGACATTATTAGAATAATTGTTCCAAAAATAAAATGTAATATTCTTGCAATATTCATGCCATAATCGCGAACATATGCTTCAGCTGCAATACATTGGGTTTGATCCATTTATAGAGTTTAAAAATTTCTTAGGACGTATTTTTTGATTTGACAGACTTTATAATAAAGAAAAAGTTTTTGTTTCATTCACAACAAATTAAGAAAATTGTTATTACCAAACAATAAAAATAGGGTTTATGGATGGTGTTAATTTAATTTTTCTTACTTCCAACTTTGCGTCATTACTTTGATTTAACGGGATGTGTAAATGGATATGTAAAAATTTCCGATTAATTAAAAACATATTGGTCATCGAAAATAATTGAATGACATTTTTTGAGGGTTTCAAAAATGGAATGGCAGTTATTCTATCTGAGAGTATACTTATTATTTAATTTATAAATAATTGTTTCATTAAAAGTAATATTCAAAACACCTGGCAAATCAAATAAAATATAAAGTTATTTAAATAAAAAATTTTAAATGTCGCTTAATTTCCGTTTTTCTTGCGCGAAAAATGACAGTAAAGTAAATTCAAATTTGACTGAAATTAGAAGTTAACACCGACTTATAACATTTTAAATGCACTTTATGATTTAAATTTATATTCAAGAAAGTATTTGCTCATCTTTTATTAAAAAATTTTAATTCTAATGTTTAAATTAAAATGTAAAAATTGTAGTATTCAACCATTCAATTAAATATTCTGAGTATGTAATTTTAAATATTTGTTTCAATTCCTTGACGACTAGGCTTTTATATCTCAAAATTGTTTTAATAATTTCTTTATCATACATATACTATTTCCTGTTGCTATAATTTTGCATGATTAAACAATAATTATAAACAGGGCTCGGATTGAAAAAATGTTAAGTGTAAATAAAAAATGTTTAATTTGGAAGTACGTAGGGCGAAAAATATGCAAGTACGCTAAAATTACAAACAAATAATTTATTCCCGCGCAAGTCTACGCAGGTGCAAATTTTGAGAGTTTCTGTGGTCCATAAGTTTGGTTGATTCCATTTTTCATAAGCCTGATTAAAATTCTGTGAATTTTAAGGAAAAATTAAATTATTAATTATTAAAAGTAACTTAAAAAAGATTATTTTACGTTTTATGGAAATAATATGTAGTATTTTAAATTATTTAACTGAATAAATATCTCATTACTTGGCACGCTTTGATTTCTTAGATTCGATACAATATTAAAATATACATAAACTAAAGTGTATGAAGTATCAAGAAATAAATAATTTCCATAACAAGAATGCCTTGTTTAGTCTGATAACAGAATTTGGAATTTTTGAATATCAAACAAACTAACTAATCGCCGTTTAAAGGAAAAATTTTCGTTAATCAGACTTAATATATCCGTTTATTGTTTCGTTTAATTTTGCCGAAAACCTTTTATTAATGAAGAGATTAGTTTCTAGATAATTTAATTTTCTATAAAATTTTTTAACTAACATTAAAATTTTATTTATTTATTAAGTTTATTTTTAAAAATTGAATTATGATTCAAATGTAAATTTATTTAAATAATTTTTATTTCCAAGCAGAATTTAAATTTTTAAAGTAAATTTCTGTGCCATGGTTTATTCCCTTTTTAATAAAATTCTTGTTTATATCATTCTGTTTCTTCAAAAAATAATCGTAGACAAATAATGTTATGATAGCATGGACAATAATTAACTTAAATATTTATTGAAATTGAGTTAATATTAAACTAGATTTTAATGTTTTTATTTAAAAAATTGCTAAAATTGGTTAATAATGGGGCTTAGCTACTTTTTCCAAACTCAAGAGATATTTCAATATTGTTAACTGTAAATCCAGAAGTTTTAGGACTAAATTAACAAGTTTTAGGACTAAATTAACAAAAATTGAATTAAGGCTTATCAATTTCACATACTAAAAAATAAATAAGAATATCAATGCTTTAAAAAATTTTAAAAGGTTTTCGAATAATAAAATTTTGTTTACCAAAATAATGCCGTCATAAGTACGTACATAAACAAGCTGGCCATATTCTGTTCGTTTCGACCTTATAAATGTCGATAAAATATTAAACAATGCATAAACAACAGTATAAGAAAAATCGAGAGGAAAAATAATTTTCATAACGAGAATATTTTGTTTTGTTTGATAACTTTGACTGAGGCTGTAGGTTGTTATTGAACTGAGAAAATAAATTTTATTTCTTGTTTTTATTATTTTAAATTCTCACAAATTCGACTTTATTTTTTTATTTCGATTAATTAAATAATAATCAGCAATTGCTATACAAATAACCAAAATTAGGAAGAAACTGTGAATGTCAATAAGTAATTGAGAATTGTAAATACTTGTCAAAGTTAAATAAACCATTGGATGACTAAAAGTATTGACATCCATACTTGATGTAATATATACATAAAAACCAAACATTAAGGTCAATATCCACTTTAAAATTAATTAGGGAAAATAACCATAGAAATAATTACCACAATAATTGTGCTAATTATTCCAATCTTTTTTCCCTGATTTTCATAAATTTTAACATAAACTGTAGCCAAAACTCTTTCAATCATTATAGCAAAATGGAATAAAGGAGAGCCAGCAATTTGAAGATAAAAAGGAATTCTAATCATATAAACTACCCAAATTTGAATTAAACAATCACAAGAATTTTTGTATGTAAATAGAACAATCTGTTTGTGATAAAAAATTAAATATTTATTAATTAAATATTTAAACTTACAAAGTTCATAAAAACAGCAAGAAAATACGACAAAACAAGAAGTGTATTAAGTAATAAAATATTTGCCAATAATAACTACAAAATTTATAGTAATTACATATATATATTTTTAAATCTAAACTTTAAATAAACTAAGTTTTTCAATTAATATTGCTTTCCGTAAATACATATTAGACCTTATTTCTCTTTTTTAAAAAAGAATCCTATCGCTTAAAATAGTACTCATAAAGTACTCATAAACTCATAAAAGTGATAGTGAGGAATTAACTAATTTCTATACTTTAAAATGGCTGAAAATTGAAAAAACCGCATGCGTTGCTAAAAATCTTAATTTCTTTTACTGGTTCAATAAATAAAAATTTTGGATTTTTGATTAATTAATTCAAAAATATAAGGAACTGTTATGAGGTATGAGGCCAAAAATAAGTGGTAGTAAAATTGAAATTTCTAAAAACTGTTCAAGACACTAGACCAAAAGTTTAGAAATTTAAACTTACAATTAAATTTTTATGTAATTTCAACGATTTTGTTCTGTAGGACCAAACAATCCTTACAAGCATTATTATAAATACTAGTCCAAAAATAAAATGTAATACACGTACTATGTTGTATCCTTTATCAATAACAGATGCTTCAGCGGCTATACATTGTGTTTGATTCATTTTTATATATAAGCTATGTATACCTGATAATTTAGAACTTGATTTAATATTTAATTTTTGAAAATTTAAAATTAAAAATTTAACACAAAATTCAATAATTAACAAACTCTAATTTTAAAAAATTTTAGAAAAAAATGTATTCTTATTACAAATTTAAAATTAATGTAAATTCTACATATATATACATTTCTAATTAATAAAAAGAATTCGAATTGTATTTTATTTTATATTTTAAATAAAAAATAAATTTCGGGAATTAATCGTTTTAAACAAATATTATAGTTTTAATTAATTTTTATCTAAAAATTTTTTTAATAAAACTATAAATAAATTATAAACCTTTAAATTTAAATTTTGTTTAAAAACTAACAGAAAAAATCCGAACTTATTTTCATTTAGTTTTAATAAATTAATTTTAATAAAAAATTAAAACTAAATTAAACAATAATTAAATTTATTTATTGTTTATTTTAAGACTTTTAGAATTTAAGTAAAAATGTAAAATTTAAAGGTTAAAAAATTCTAAAATTAAAATTTTATATGAAAGTGATGATTTTTTAAAATAAATTTTTTTATTTTAATTAAAAATATTTCTTTAAATTTTTGCAAAAAAAAATTTTTTAAATAATAAATTTATTTTTGATAAAAAAATTAAATAGAAAATTGAGCAAATTTATTAAAATTTAAAATCTACTAAAAATTATGTAAAAGTGTAAATGAATGAATGTGCATTTTCTTTATTAAATAAACAAAAGGCGGAACTAACAAAACTTTATTTAAATTAATTAAATAATTTAATAAAGTTTATAATATAATAGATACAAATTTAAAATTTATAGACATTCTGTTCAATTAAATTAATAATTTAATTTTTTATAAATATTAAAAGCTTTATTCTCGATATTTATTAAATTAGAAATCAAAGTTAAAGTATAATTTTTGTGAAAATTTGTAGATAATTTTTTGCAAAATTTTTCTTGTTTAAATAATTGTTTATTTGTAATTTTTAATTTTTGTAAAATTAATAAATTTTCTAAATTAATTTTATAAAAAATTTTATCTGCCATATAGACGTACAATTTTAGTTATTATATTTTCGTGTCTTTGTG